TATATATGTATATATGTTCTGGTCATATTTAAATTTTCAAATTTCAATTTTTTTAGTGTGAAATTGTACTCTAGGGGCGGTTATAGAGTGAACCGTCCCTACAAATAGGATTTATAGGGGCGGCTGGTGTTACAACCGTCCCTACAAGTTATTTTTGTAGAGGCGGCTAGTGTTACCAACCGCCCCTACAAATACAGTTGTAGGGACGGTCTAGGAACCGCCCCTATGAATACATGATTTGTAGCCACGTTTGATAGGGGCGGCTGGCCAGACCGCCCCTACAAATCATCTGGAACCGTCCCTACAAAATGTTTATGTAGCAGTGATTGATCATGAATTGCCATATCGTTTAAAAACACATGTGTCTAGTTAACTTTGAAGCTCTTTCAGGTCACTCAGTCTTGTACATATGCTGTGTCGAAACATCTGGATTTCATCTAACCACTTATACTTAATTAAACCATACATAAATCATAAAAGGAGGGTTTTTAATATAATCAAATATATTGCTACTGCCGTCATGTAGTAAAAAAAAGGCTGAATCTTAGCAACTAAATTAAAACAACACATGCATGTTTAGTAAAAAGGGTAGCTTAATGTTTAGCTTTAGATGTTTTTGGACCTATTAAAAGAAAGAAAATGGCACTACTTAAATATGAGTTAAAGGTCAGTTACGGGATTGTGTCCCTACACGATCTGAATGCAACTTCTGCTGATGCTGATATGGGTATCTGAATCTGTACTCAGACTTGATCAACGCAGTTAAGACGCAGGTACTTGTTTCACTGCTGATGTGTTTGCCAGATGCAATCTACTAATCTGAACATAGATGAGACAGGCAGCTGTTTCAAGATGTGTGTCCAGCTGGAATAAAGAACCTACCAAGTGACATTGTTACACTGTATATAGGCCCCATTGGATCAGCTAAGACTAATTGCTAGCTAAAGTTAAAAATTAGCTAGCTAAAATTAGTAAGCTAACTATTAGCCAGTGTATATGTTTGGATCTCTAGCTAATAGGTGCATACATCCGTAGCAATGAATTGTTAGTCCTTGTTAGTTAGTTGTGCTTGGCTAATGGGCTAGTAACTAGCTAAGAGTTTGGCTAAAACTTAGCCCACTCATAAGCCCTCATGTTTATATGGACTAAAACTAGTTTTTAACTGCTAGTTGTTAGCCTATAGGATCAAACAAACATAATGACTGGTTGGTAGCAAGTGTTCCTTCTTCTTTTGACGAGGACTAAGTGGCCTTTTTTTAATTGGCTTATCGAAGGCCGTACTCCATGAACTTATAAAAGTTCAAAAGTTCAATGAATAGAGTTTGATATGTTAAGTGGTGTAAATTAATAAAGTATCAGCAACAAAGCTGGCAGTTATGATTTGTGCTGACTTTAGTATAATTGCGCCCGAAAAGAAGTGGTTGTATAAGCAATATTTGTATATTAGAAATTTAACACCACCAAGATTTTATATCTCATATGCTTGAGTTGGCTTACTGGCATAGGAAAGAAAGATAAAGTAAATATGTTTGTGGATATATAGAAGTTGTTTGTTGGGCAACTGAAATGATATTATTTTTGAGAAAAAACAGTATGCTTCCTTTATGCGGGCTTTCTTCATAGGAACATATTGATTGCGGGTCAAGGCGTTACGCAACATGAAGTGTTATGGGAGATCTTTCGTTCAATAAGCTTGACCCTGTAATAATTGATGGTTAAGTGCATAACTTATGCATACACACCCGAATAATAAAAATCCTTTTATGAGAAAGATCTTTTTGCCAAGAATTGATGAACAAACAATAATAGACTTTACTTTCTTGATTACTTCATGTGTTCTCATTGTTCCCCTATTCTCAGCTATATTTGTTTATAAATTTCCTATTTAAACCGAGCTATGCGTTTATAAGGTTGGAAACTTTTTCTCCCTCCTTTTTAAAAAAAAAATAATTGCATACCAGTAGCATGCGGTCAACTACTTTTATGAGGAGGTAATCAACTCCCTTTCAAGAAAAAAAAGTTCCATGCTTTTGGTATATGCTTTTATTTTATAATTTTGCGTTCTCAATGTTGTAAATACAGAACAAATGATTCTGCTGGGAATGTGGTAACAATTAATATTTCTATAGAAATCCTACTATTCACTATGAAATTACAAATATTTTGGCATTCTGAATAGGCCCAAACTACGTGCTTAATAGGACACACAACATTTTTACAGTTTGCTTAATGTATATGTTTATGACTTTTATATGTGTGGTTTTTAAGGATTTTGTTTGCAAATTATTAAAGCCAATTCAAAGATAAAAGGCATATGTGGCATTATTTTTAATCTGATACGTGCAAAGTGCACAGAACAAAAACTTTTGATTGATGCATATGGCAAGTTTGTCTAGGCACTAATGCAAGTGGGGTCAATCATGGTTGTCAACTAACGTGATCTAGTTTATTTTTCTCAATAACAATTATAGGAGATGATTAGTGAAATAAGTAAAAAAACACTCTAGTTGAGTGGGTTGGTTTAAGTGGCATATTTGCACTACCACAAAAACAACATGTGTGATTAACAAAGGTGAGCATCTTAAGATATATTAGCAGAGACAGACGTCTTAGGAGACCTGTCTCTAAAAATAATTGCATCAAAAAATAATTTATAACTTTTATATATGAACTCATACGAAGACAAACTTTATTTCCAAGTTATAGTCCTCAACATGATCTACAAATTTGTAGTTGATAAGTTTTGGTTTGAAACTATTTAGAGTCTAAAAATATTATTTTAAGTTAATGAAATATATAATTTAAAATTTTCAAACAAACTTGGATGTTGACACGGTCTATACTAAAGTTGTAGCTGTCAATACAATCTACAACTTTATAGTTGAAAAGTTTTTGATTTAGCTTAAAGTCTCATATATGTGTTTTAAGTTCCTAGATTTTGGAGTTCAAAATTTAGAATTTCCAAACGACCTTCAATGTTCACAAAGTTAATAACAAAATTATAGCGGCCGACCTGATCTACATGTTTACCGCTGATAAGTTTTTAATTTAAATTCTTCTATGTAGCTATCAATACAATCTACAATTTTGTAGTTAAAAAGTTTTTGATTTAAAGTTGTTTAAAGTCTCGTATATGTGTTTTAAGTTCATAAATTTTGGAGTTCAAATTTTAGAATTCCCAAATGACCTTCAATGTCACAAAGTTAACAACAAAATTGTAGTGGCCAACCAAATCTACATGTTTACCGTTGATAAGTTTTTTTTATTTAAATTCTTTTGTCTCAAATATTTGTTTTAAATTCACGTATTTTAAGATTCAAAATTTTGAAATATTCAAACAATACGGATGGAGACACATCCTACATCAAAGTTGTAGTGCTTAACAAGATTTAAAACTCTATAATTGGAACTTTTTTCTTTTGAGTTCATTTAGTAGGCAACACAAGATTATAGAATGTTAATAAAAAAGATAGCATCTGATATATATACTTACAAATGAGTGTGTAGTGCAGTGGTAGGGAGGTGTTAGTATTGACCAGCAGGCCATATGATTGAGTCTAGAGAAGTATATAATTTTTATTTTTTTAGGTTTTCTGAAACCATTAATAGAGGCGGGCTTAACACATAGACGATTTTTTAAAAATCTTTTTTAGTTTTTCTAGAAACCATTAACAGAGGCGGGCTTCACATAGAGACAGAAAAATTTTAGGTGTTTATGATGCCAGAACAGACAATTTCTGCCGGGTCAGAACCTCCCATCATTCAGGATTCAGACTCAGGACAGAACAGTCTATCACTGTTGGTTGAAGACACTAATGGCTCAAGCCATGAGCTGGCAGTGATAGTTCTCCTATCACTTTCTAAAAGTAACTGAGTGATAGTTAGGCAGTGATTACCTTTTTTGGCATAGTGATTGATTTACAGAGACTAACATGCCGACCACCATTAACAGTGACCATTCATTATCCAAAAATAAAAAAACGTCCACCCCTAAAAATCTTCTCCGTAGTAGTGTTGCCTCCATTATATATTGTCGATCCTTTAGTTTCTTGTAATTGCGAGAAAGACGTGCACTAACGCAAAACACAAACCCATGAACATTCATATCACAATGTGCACAGTGCACTCCATATCACAAACATAGGGACATGCATGCACACGCTGAACGCACTCATGTGCCTGTAAATAGGTGGACATCTCAATTTGTACATCAGTAACAATGAAGTCCTATTTCCACAACTTAGTTACCTCCCAAGAGGATTGTTCCGTTTGTAGACCAATTTTGGAAAATATGATATGTGCAAAGCAAGGAAACACAAATCTGGCTTTCAAATTAAAGGCACCAAGGAACCAAATACTCTATGCAATGATGTCAAACTTGCTTAGTATTAGTGAACATTACAGCCACAGAATGTGGCTACCTGCCAAGCACTCATGACCATAATACAGCTTTTATATTAAGAAGTGGGCAAAATCCATAAAAGGAAACTATGCCTTTAAATTGTGTTAAACTTTGCCTTATAATAAAATAGCTACCCAAATTTGAGTTGAATAGTTGAATAAAAGATGTGCCGTTGTTAAGCCCCCGGTTTGTAAAGTAAAGCTGGAAGCATAATAAGAGGGGAATTCGGAAATTGAGTTCTTGTTATAAAGCAACGAACTAATTAACCGAATTGAAGAGTCCTTTCTGAAAGACACTAATAAATTAACCAACAAACCAGGGATGAAAATCTGAAAGAGAATATACACGAGATATAAGTATGAACATCAATATGTACACACAAAATAATTCCACTCTCGCAGAAATATAAAAGGAATGAACCGATAAGAACAACCAGTTGATTTTTAATAATAATTAAACCACCAGAGCACGTGCACACATCCTAATCAGGGTTGTTCCTGAAAGCAACCGTTGGTAGGAGTGGTAGGACCCGGCCGGTTGCACCCACAAGGCGACAAGGCATCGAACATCAGTGGCCCCTGCACATGCAAACGTGCCGATGGCGACTGCACCAGCACCGGTTGGTCTGGCTCTGGCCCGTAGACTTTGCTACTTGCTAGGTCTTCCTAAACAATTCAGGATATATTTTTTTAGCTTACGAAATGGGAGTTGGGTGCAACAGACTTGGCCCAGAAATTAAAAAGAAAGAAGTAGAGTGGGCAAGACTGTGTAGGTGCTGTCTTATATGCATCTCCAAGTCATGGTCTTCCCTTCCCATCGTCCGTCGTCCCACCCTCGCTCGCCTCACCACAGTGAGCTCCGACTCCAAGCGTGAGAGGCCTTGCTAATAGGCTCTCACGGCAAATATTCTGCGATCAACTGCAGGTGCGTAGTACGTGTACTTGCCTGCAACTCATGGAGATTCAGCATGGCACATGCCTTAGTTTTTTTGTTGTTCTTAATTGGTCACGGGCCGGCCGGGTCGTGTCTGCAGACTCTGCTCTAGCACTGTCCGTTCACTCCCTAGTCCTGTAATGCAAAGTCTGCAACTCTGCATATGCACGGTCAACATTAGTTCACCGTATCTATCTCCGATTTTAAGATCACTGTCCTTTCGAGTGACCTTGATTGCAAACGGTAGCTGTCGTGCAATTAGGTCGACTTAATTAACACCAGACCAGAGGTTCAGGTTCTGACTCTTGAGTTCATCCTACCTTTCTGTCATTACTTGATTCGGTAATCGGTAGTGTCTCGACTCTCGAGTAAATCCTAAACGTGCCGTAAACTTCGACTTCGCCTGGTGGATTGGGTACTTACGATGGTCCGCGGATCAGATAGTCTCATCTCTCATGACCTTAATTAGAGCCGGCATGAGAAGTAGGCTTGAGGGGGTTCTTCCATCGTTATCAGCCGACAGCCACTGAAAGGCTAGCTATGGTTGTGCTACTAAAGTTTTATATTATCTTCGATCATGTCCGCTGGTTGATGAAAGAAGGGAGATAAAAGAAGGATGTACTTAGGCACTGTTTCATGACAAAGTTTTTTTTCTATATATTTTTTAAAAAAATTAGAAACTATTTTGATTTTAGAAAGTTATGACACATTTAAATAAGAGAATTTCTAAAAAAATACAAAAAAAAATCTTACACCATTGAGAATCATGTCACTGTTAAAAGGCTTCTCTTTTTTATGTTTTAGATTAGAAAAAAAAAGAGTTTCCTTGGGCCTCTGCGTCCGCACATGCACATCCAATTTGTTACAATGTTTTTCAGCTAATCTACTGATAAATAGGAATGAAAATAGAGCATACATACATGTAGAAGGAAAAAAAAGCATAAGTATAATTTATTATTGCTTCTCCATCTATTATTGGTGCAAACATTCAAGGCAATGACCTCCAATGCCTTCCTCGCCATGCAAACTGTCTCCCTTACATTATTCTCATGCCACAACCATGCTCAAAATCACACACACACACACACACACACACACACACACACACACACACACACACACACACACACACACACACACACACACATATATATATATATATATATATATATATATATATATATATATATATATATATATATATATATATATATATATTTGATGCACCATCGGTTTGCACGCATCTACCAATGATACATGTTTTTTAAAACTATCTGTTTGAAATAGTTTGATTTAGTTTTATCTTAACCTGAGCTTTTCTAACTTTTACCAGGTACTACAAGACATATTTTTATTATGCAACTAATTTGATGATGTAGTTAATGATGTGTTTTTTATTTTCTTGGTCAACTAATTTGCAGGTTTGCCGGATTCATCCCCCGTTCCGCTCTGGGCTAAGGTTCCAGCAGGTGCGCATTGGCTTGTCAAACGAGCCAACACTGCCCTATGTTTTATTCTTCCACTGACCACAGTGGTAGCCCGTATCCCTGTTTTTTGTGTGGATGCAAATGAGATAATTTTGATGGACAATAGGGACCATGTTCTCAGCAATCCTATTGGCCTACTTTTATGCTCTCTGTCAGACACGTTGAGTTCATTTTCCTGATCACATATCAACTGAGTCTAGGCACTAGGCAGGGAGCAACTTCAGGAAACGTCGCCCTGAATCTGACACTAGCACGGACATCAATTGATGGTCCTTCCATGATTGCCCGGATCTGTTTATCCTTCAGAAAATTTGCAAGCAAATAAACATATATGTTACCATTGCAGATGTCTAGAAAATGGGGGTAGCAACTGGATCTTCGGTCCGAGTGTCCCGCGTCCTGCCAGTGGCTCTTTATATGGTTTTGCCTTGTTATGATCCGTTGGTTGCGCCATGTATCATTTATACTATACGCTGACAATTGCTACATGTCTTTATATAAATAGATTATTATGTCTAAAAGAGTAAGTACATATTAGATTCCACTGTTTTAATTACCTCTTCAGGAAAATGAGCGAAACATCTCTCTTCTATGCCAAATTATATTTGATGAGGTCCATTTAGCCATTTGGGAATTGCATATGGTACTGATACATGTTGCCTGCATGTGCAATACATTATACTTTAAAGTTTCCTGTCATATATGCTTTAAGTTTTGCCGACACAAAACCCCATTTGCTGAAAAATAATGAGGCAGAGTAGAACCAACAAGAACAGGGGGAATTGTTTTTGTTTAACCTATGAGTGACTGCATGAGTTCAGCTCATATCTTTCAATTCAAATTTGCTTTACCTACAACATGACAAACTGTGTCTTTATTGTTCAGCACAAATTTATGGCAGAAGCAGTGCTCCTTGCTGTCACTAAGATTGGTTCTGCTCTAGGGGATGGACCCACCAATGCCCTTATAAATAAGCTGTCTGAAAAAGTTCAAGCTCTGAAGGAACTTCCATGGAAAGTGGATCAAATAAGGATGAAACTGATATTCATGGGCAAAATTATACAGCAGATTGGCACAGTCTACCTTACAGATGAGCTTGTCAAGAGTTGGATTGGGGAGGTCCGGAAGGTGGCCTGAAGAAGTACTCATACCATCTTCTTCAACTAGAGGAAGAAGGGTTCCTGAAGAAGTATTTCATCAAGGGTACACACTATGCCATTGTTTTCAGTGACATTGCTGATGAGGTAGCTGCGATAGAAGGGGAGATCCAGCAAGTTATTCAGATGAAGGAGCAATGGTTGCAGCCATCCCAGCTTGTCCCTCACCCCGACCAACTCGCTGAGATTGAAAGACAGCGATCCCAAGATAGCTTCCCAGAATTTGTCAAAGATGAAGATCTAGTAGGAATTGAAGAAAATAGAAAATTGCTGACTGGATGGGTTTACTCAGAAGAGCAGGGAAGCACTGTGATAACTGTTTCTGGTATGGGTGGGCTGGGAAAACCTACACTCCGGTACATGCTTGGATCGTTGTGTCACAGATCTACACAGTCGAGTCTCTGTTGAGAAAGCTACTCTGGAAGATTGGGCATACGGAACCTCCGGTGCCAAAAGAGATTGACAAAATGGACGTACATGACTTGAAGGAAGCAATAAAGAGAAAACTCCAAAATATTGAGTACTTGTTATAAAATAACGAACTAACCGAATTGAAGAGTCCTTTCAGAAGGACACGTACTAAATGAACCCACGAACCAGAGCCAAGAAGTAAGGGACTGTTTGAAGCAAAGATCTGAACCCTAGGATATCAAAATCCAACGCCTGGGACATCTTGCCTGAGCCAGATAACTTCTGATAGTCCAACCAAACAGCCCTAAGTGATGCAAATTTGAAAGACAATACACACAAGATATAATAATACGGATGAAGCATCAATATTATGGGCATGTTCGGCAGGACTGAAAAATACTGTTCCGGCTGATTGTTGTGAGAGAAAAATACTGTTCTAGTAGGACGTGAACAGTGATTTCGTGAGTGACAGAACCAGCCAGCCGAACGGCCTCTATATACGCAAAATAATTCCACTGTCGCAGAAATATAAAAACCACTACAACACATCCTAATCGATAAGAACATCCGGTTGATTTTTAATAATAGTTAAGCCACTGAAGCACATCCTAATCAGGGGTTGTTCATGAAAGCAACTGTTGGTAGGAGTGGTAGGACCCGGTTCCACCCACAAGGCATCGAACATCATTGGCGCCTGCACGTGCAGAGAACGTGCCGATGGCGACTGCACCAGCAGCAGCGGTTGGTCTGGCCCGTAGACTTTGCCAGGTCTTCCTAGACAATTCATCAGGAATTAAAAAAAAACAGTAGAGTTCGCAAGACTCTAGGTGCTGTGCTGTCTTATATGCATCTCCCATCTCCAAGTCATGGTGCCTCCCTCACCAGTCACCAGTGAAGAACTCCGAGCGTGAGAGGCATCGCTAGCTCTCACGGCAGATCTGCTGCGATCGACTGCAGGTGCGTACGGGTTCTTGCCTGCAACTCATCAAGATTATATTCAGCAGCGTCATGGATGATGATGAATATAATCCGCCGTTAAGTTGGACGTGTCTTTGATAGGCCACGTTTAGTTCGCGAAATTTTTTGGGTTTTGCAATCGTAGCATTTTCGTTTGTATTTGACAATTAGTGTCTAATTATGAACTAATTAGGTTTGAAAGTTTCGTCTCGCGATTTCTCACCTAACTGTGCAATTAGTTTTTTTTCGTCTATATTTAATGCTCTATACATGCGTCCAAAGATTCGATGTGATAGGCAAAAACCAAAAATTTTTGGAACTAACGTGGCCTTAGAGCGCGTTTAGTTCCCAAAATTTTTTAGGTTTGGCTACTGCTGGGCTGTCGTTTGTATTTGGTAATTAGTATCTAATTATGGAGTAATTAGATTCGAAAGTTTAAATCTCGCAATTTCTCACCTAAGCTTGTGTAATTAGTTTTTTTTTTCGCTCACATTTAAGTCTTCATGTACGTATCTTAGTAAAAATTTGATGCGACACTTTGAAGTAAAAATTTTAGCAACTAAACAGGCCCTTAGTTCTGCTTCTGCCGTTAATTGGTCACGGGTCGTGTCTGCAGACTCTGTTCTAGCACTGTTCTCTACTGCAAAGTCTGCAACACTCTGCATCTCGGTCGGGTCAACACTACTAGTTCACCAGATCTATCCCTGTTTCGACAGTCGAGATCACTGTCCTTTCGATCTTGACTGCAAATTAAACGGATCAAGCTCTTGGCTAGCCCACGAGATGACCATCCTACCACATGTTCCGCTCCATCCACCCGTTCACGGTTCATCCCAACTCCCAAACTCCTGCGCCATCCTGTGCCCGCGATGTGCTCGACGGAATGCGCCGCCGAGATCGATCATCGATGGTCTACGGACAAGCGCCGGAATGGCCAAGCGGGGCGGGGGGCGGCGGCGCGCGCGTTGAAAGGAAACTGATACATGATAGCCGAACTGCCCTTCTCATTCCCTAACCGCGTCTAACCTGCTCACCTCCTCTTGTTTAATGCCGCAGGTTTGGTCTCACTGCCGGATTCGTCCTCCCGTTCGTTCCTCTCTGGACTAAGCCTCCAGCAGGTGCGCATTTGCTAGTCAAATTAGCCAACACTGCCCTATTTATGTTTTGTTCTTCCTCTCCTGAACACGGTGGTGGTAGCCCTGATGTTCCAGGCAATCCTATTAGGCTAGTGTTATACTCGCTGGCATGCAAGTTGATGCTTCTTTTATAATTGCATATCAATTGAGTCTCTCCCGGGAGCAACTTTACGAATACGAAACATTGCCCTGAATCTGAAACTAGCACGGCCACGGCCATCAATTGTTAGTCATGGTTGCCCAGATCTGTTTAGCCTAAAGAAAATCTGGAAGCAAATAAACCAATATGTTACAGTTGCGGGTATCTAGAAAATGGGGTAGCAACTGGATCTTCTGTCCAAGTGTGCCACCATGTGGCTCTCTCTACAGTTTTACCTTGTTTTGATCCATTATGCAGTTGCATAATTTTTCATTTCTAGATGCTGATAATTGCTACATCTTTATAGATATTATATATATAAAAAGTATTAGATTCCACTATTTTAGTTACCCTTCAGGAAAATGAGCAAAACTTCTCTGTTCTATGCCAAATTGTATTAGGCGAGGTCCATTTGGCAATGGCATATGGTATTGATACACTGCATATGTGCGATACATTATATTTTAAAGTTTCCTATCATATATGCTTTAAGTTTTGCTGAGACAACACCCCATTTGCTGAAAGATAATGAGGCAGAGTAGAATCGCTGGGGACCAGGGATTTTTTTTTTTTTACCTATGAGTTCAGCTCATATCTTTCAATTCAAATTTGCTTTACCTACAACATGACAAACTGTGTCTTTATTGTTCAGCAAAATTTTATGGCAGAAGCAGTGCTCCTTGCTGTCACTAAGATTGGTTCTGCTCTAGGGGATGGACCGCCAATGCCCTTATAAATAAGCTGTCTGAAAAAGTTCAAGCTCTGAAGGAACTTCCATGGAAAGTGGGTCAAATAAAGATGAAACTGATATTCATGGGCAAAATTATACAGCAGATTGGCACAGTCTACCTTACAGATGAGCTTGTCAAGAGTTGGATTGGGGAGGTCCGGAAGGTGGCCTACCGTGTTGAGGATGTAGTAGACAAGTACTCATACCATCTTCTTCAACTAGAGGAAGAAGGGTTCCTGAAGAAGTATTTCGTCAAGGGTACACACTATGCCATTGTTTTCAGTGACATTGCTGATGAGGTAGCTGCGATAGAAGGGAGATCCAGCAAGTTATTCAGATGAAGGAGCAATGGTTGCAGCCATCCCAGCTTGTCCCTCACCCCGACCAACTCGCTGAGTTTGAAAGACAGCGTTCCCAAGATAGCTTCCCAGAATTTGTCAAAGATGAAGATCTAGTAGGAATTGAAGAAAATAGAAAATTGCTGACTGGATGGGTTTACTCAGAAGAGCTGGGAAGCACTGTGATAACTGTTTCTGGTATGGGTGGGCTGGGAAAATCTACACTGGTTACAAATATTTATGAACGTGAAAAAGTCAACTTCCCGGTACATGCTTGGATCGTTGTGTCACAGATCTACACAGTCGAATCTCTGCTGAGAAAGCTACTCTGGAAGATTGGGCATTTGGAACCACCAGTGCCAAGAGAGATTGACAAAATGGATGTACATGACTTGAAGGAAGAAATAAAGAAAACTCCAAAATAGAAAATGCTTGATTGTACTGGATGATGTTTGGGAGCAAGAAGTATACTTCAAAATACATGATGCTTTCCAGGCGCTCCAAGGAAGCCGCATCATCATTACAACACGAAAGGACCATGTCGGTGCTATTGCTTCCTTTGACCACCATCTTGAGCTCCAACCGTTGTGTGGGCCTGATGCATTTGAACTTTTCTGTAGAAGGGCTTTTCACAACAGGAAGGACCACAAATGCCCCGAGGAGCTTCAGGAAATTGCTGGTGAAATAGTGAAAAGGTGTCATGGCCTGCCGCTAGCAGTTGTTACAATTGGCAGCTTGTTGTCATCAAGACCACAAATAAACATTTGGAATCAAACATACAACCAGCTTCGAGTGAGTTGTCAACCAACGATCATGTCCGAGCAATCTTAAATCTAAGCTACCATGATCTATCTGGAGACCTCAGAAATTGCTTCTTGTATTGCAGCTTGTTTCCTGAAGACTACCCCATGTCACTTGAAACCCTTGTGCGGCTTTGGGTTGCAGAAGGTTTTGTTCTGAGCAAAGAGAAGAATACACCAGGGAAGTGGCTGAGGGAAATCTCATGGAACTGATCCACCGTAATATGCTTGAAGTTGTAGACTATGATGAGCTTGGCAGGGTTAGCACTTGCAAGATGCATGATATCATGCGGGACCTGGCACTTTGTGTTGCCAAAGAAGAGAAGTTTGGTTCCATAAGCGAATATGGTGAACTGGTACAGGTGGACAAGAATGTCCGTCGCTTGTCATTATGTGGGTGGAATGTCAATGCGGCACCTAAGGTTCAATTTCCATGTCTTCGAACTCTTGTTGCCCAGGGAATAATTTCATTCTCCCCTGACATGTTGTCCTCAATTATGTCTCAATCAAGCTATTTGACAGTTCTTGAGCTGCAAGATTCTGAGATCACTGAGGTGCCAGCATTTATAGGAAACCTCTTTAACCTTGGTATATTGGGTTAAGGCGCACCAAAGTCAAGTCACTCCCAGAGTCCATCGAGAAGCTCTTCAACCTCCACACTCTGGACATTAAACAAACTCAAATAGAAAAGCTGCCACGAGGGATTATTAAGGTCAAGAAACTAAGGCACCTTTTGGCTGACAGGTTTGCAGATGAGAAGCAGTCAGAGTTCAGATATTTCATTGGAGTGCAAGCACCTAAAGGTCTGCTGAACCTTGAAGAACTACAGACTCTTGAGACAGTGCAGGCGAGCAAAGACTTGGCTGAACAGCTGAAGAAACTGATGCAACTCAGAAGCATATGGATCGACAATGTTAGTGCTGAAGATTGCGCTAATCTTTTTGCGACCATTTCGACAATGCCACTTCTTTCCAGCCTCCTAATCTCTGCAAGTGATGTGAATGAGACACTTTGCCTCCAAGCCCTTGCACCGAAATTTCCCAAGCTCCACAGACTAATTGTAAGGGGGCGCTGGGCTGATGAGACTCTGGAATATCCAATATTTCGCAACCATGGGAAACATCTAAAATATTTAGCGCTTAGCTGGTGTCAGCTTGGTGAAGATCCATTGGGGGTCCTTGCTCCACACGTGCCAAACCTCACTTATTTGAGCTTTAACAGGGTGAATAGTGCAAGCACTTTGGTTCTTTCTGCAGGGTGCTTTCCTCACCTGAAAACACTCGTCCTGAAGAAAATGCCTGACGTCGAGCGGCTGGAGATTGGACATGGTGCTCTTCCATGCATCGAAGGTCTGTACATCATGTCCCTAAGCGCAGCTGGATAAGGTCCCTCAAGGCATCGAATCCTTCTCTCCCTCAAGAAGCTTTGGCTTTCTACCTGCACTGGGGAGTTTAGACCACAGTGGCTAACGAATGGGATGCACCAGAAGATGCAGCATGTTCCAGAGATTCGCGTCTAGGATGGGGACAGCCAGATGGTTATTTCTGCAGTACTATGCTTGTATGGTGTGTCTCTGAAAGAACTATATGTTTTTGTACGTTTTAATCCCTTTTCTTCCATTAAGTCATGAATTGTTATATCTGGATTTTACAGACTCAAAGCGCTTGCCTTGAGTATCTTCGTTAGACCCATATATGCATTGTGTTGGTTCAGTTGCTTTTAATAATACTTGTTTGTTCGAGACATTTGCCTTCTGTATTGAACTTCATGCAAATGATGTTATGACCAAACTAGCATCTCCATGTATTTTGAATTTTTTTTTTACGTGCCTTATAGATATTATTGATTCCCATATCATCACATGTTTGGTCGGCTTAACACTATGTTGTATATGAGAATGGAAGAAAAATCATATTGGTGATACATTGGCTGCAGTGTGCTGACTGGTGATTCTAAGTTTAGGGAAAGGTTCAGCTCTTCTTCTAATTTATTATTGAAATACAATGCTGACTTTTTGTTTGAAAATCTATCGAAACGGTACAAAACAATTGGATAATGTTGAATTCATGAACCTTAGGCTACAAATTTTTCAGATGATGCTTGTAATCTAAGTTGTAGTAGTTTATATTAACAAATAAAGAAATTTCGATATTGGATTCTCATTCGATGTTTTTGTATTAGAAAAAATGCTCTCGTGTTGCAAGTTTGCAACTGCAGCTACCAGCCTACCGGAGATGGCAACGTCGAGAGTCTGGGCCATGGGAGGCTGGGGGCTGCTGGACTGGGGGGACTGGGGACTTGCGCGCGGTTGCGCCGCTATAAGGTCTCTTCACCGCTTGCAGGCTCTGCACCTGTAGTTGCCCTTTGCCCCACAGCAAAAAAAAAAAAAAAAAAAATTCAGGTGTCGAGACGGAGGAGCTCTAGCATTGGAGGATTTGGAGAAGAAACCCTCTCTCAAAGGGGCTGTCGAAACCGGAGGAGGAGACGACGGAGAGGGGCGTCGGCGCGTCGCTCGGTGGCGTCGGCATTACGCGCACGGAGGAAGAGGAAGTCGCAGGGACGATGGGGTGAACCACTGACATGATGCGGGCTGGGAGCAGGGGACTGGCACGACAGGCGTTCAAGCGTGCCGCATCGCTCCGACGCTGAACCCCCATGGTTTGGAACTCAGGTGATTGCCCACTCCCATCTCTGATCTCTCCGGTGTGATTCCTTTTGCGTTGGTTCCAATCAAACACTACTGAACCGTAAACCATCTCCCAAATGAACAGAACAAATCTCTAAGCCATCGTTGCCGGCTTTGCCCCAGCAAAGCACAATGTTTTCCAATTTCGTAACTCATGATTATGTTGCAGTGATTAGTAATCCGTAGAAGGTGTCAAGCTTTTCTAATGTCATCTGTTCATCACGAACCTCTTGAGCAAATCATCAATGGATCCATCTTCATTTATTATACAGATTCTAAAGGGAAAACAAAGTTCAGACCTGCAGCAATGCGCAGGAAAGACTCCTGATCTAGAAGGACATGATTACACCACTTGCGTGTACATACCATTTGACCTGAGTACTAAATTCAGATACAATCTCATGGGAAAAGGATTGTAGCCATGACTCAAAAGTGGAGCCATTTAGACAGCAGGAGTAAAATAAAATTATTAGATGAGATAGTTCAGAGGTTCTGTAATGGAGGAGATTTAATGACTTGCATCAGGAGCACAGTTCAGCTCGTGTCCACATAAATAGCTTTTCCTTTTTATTCCACCCATCATGAAATGGAACATTCTTCACTGTTGTCTGACAAACTGAAGTAGCAACTCTACCCACTAACAAGAATCCTCAACTGAATGGTTCACCTTTTGCTGCAAAACAGAAATGGACATCATAAAACAATAGCGGCTTATCTTTGGGTAAAAGTATGATGAGCAATTTGTAGTAATTTTTATTTTCTCATGTATTTATTAGGTTGCAGTTATTTTGTAGTAGTACTAAGAAATCCAGGTAGCTACAAAGATAAAAATTACCAATTCTAGATTAATTTTTTTATAAGATTAAAACAAGAATCCCCGCTTATATGTTATTTCTGATAGGGGGTAGGGTTACAACTTGCACATGAAGTGGGATAGTCCTAATCATCATTTGGAAACCAGTAGCCCAAGCCCATACCCCTAAATCCAAACAAGTAATGGGTGTTTTGGAAAAAGAAAAAAACAGTGGCAATTACATTGAATACAAAAGCACAGTGATTTACAACTTAATAGTTTGGTTAACATTATTTGGTGACATCAGGTGCCAAAGGTAGCTTACATCACTACTGAATAACCAAAGCAATTTCTATGAACATTGTAGTTTTCCTTTTTATGCAAATGATCATGGTTTTCGATAGGAAACACGAGACCAATCAAGAAGTGCTCAGGAAACAAGGACTGTGCTGTCAGTACTCAGTACAGAGCGGACTAGTATTTGCGCCATATCACAGGTGTGTTTATGTTCTTCTTCGTTAGAGTCCACATGAAGTCTGACCAATTGTTTGTTTGGGACTATCAATGACAGGGTGCAGATTAACTATATCAATGACAGGCTAACAACTAGTTGAACATTTGGCTAAAAAATTAGCCCACCTATTAGCCCTCTTGTTTGGATGCACTAGAGCCAATTTTGGCTAATTTTTAGCTAGCTAGCAATTAGCCCTTGTATCCAAACATGCCCTAAGTTATTTCCTCTTCCCAAAATAAATCAACTTCTAGAGTTGTCCTAAGTCAAACTATATTAAGTTTGACCAACCTTATAACGAAGACTATCAATAGGACAACATATATGACACCAAATAAGTATAGTATGAAAATATGTTTCATGGTGCATCTAAATGATACTAATTTGGTGTTGTAAATATTTGTTCTCATTTCTACAAAGTCAGTTAAACTTAAAATAGCTTAACATAAGACAACTCTAGAAGTTGATTTAATTTGGGACTAAGGGAGTATGGAGAAGATACTCACACTGACAGAAGCACATTTGCTATATAGACAATAATCTCTTGTTTATTTGGTAGAGCCTGTTGGAAATGACCTCCTCTCTTTCTTTAGTGTTTATCATAAACACACACATGGAAATCACTCCATATGTCTTCAGTGTTTATCAAAAACACACACTAGGAAATCACTCCCTTCTCTCTTCTTTTGGTTGATGCGGCTCTCAGCGCTAACCATTTTCTCATATATATAGCTGATATACACCTGTCCATGATATCCTCCTAATTACTGCAGGCATAACTCCTATAATTTCCTATTATTCTCCTTAACTACTAGCTGAAAATCTGCTAGTACTAAAGACTGCACCTAGACATCATGAACCTGGACACATGCATGGACAAAGACTCGACCATGGGGAGAGACGACCCCCTGATTTTGCCCTTAAGTAGTTTGTGCCAGCCTTCAAACCTGGACTGGTGACAGGGGTTTCATTGACCCCCGGACTTCAAAGGTCTAACCAGTGTAACTCAGGAGAAGTCGGCAGACACATGCATGGACACACAGGATTATAGCTAACAGAACCAATACCATCGTATTTAAAGGGAAATTATGTCACCTCCCTCTATAAGTCTATATCCTGTTATATCTAGTCCCAAGTCCCAACCCACCCACACAGGCCCTAACTGCAGATTAAAAACTGAATTTGGAACTCTATATAGCACTGGAAGTGGAATATCTTAACCATTCGGATGCAACACAAATTTTATTGTCAAATTTGGTTCAGTTTTGGTCCTTGAAAATAGGGATCAGTCTCGCCCCCAAAACATGCAGTTACCTTTAAGTCGTAATAATCATTTTGGAGTCATGTTTTATGTGTTTTTGTCTAGGTAATTAGGTGGTGCCGGTACTCCTAAATAGGGATGAAAACGGTCGGAATACATCATGTACCGTCCCGCATCGTTTTCTGATCCGCTCGAATTCGTATTTTTGGACAAATTCGAAATTGGTACGAAATACGGTATGCCAAATTCGAGAACGGAACGAAAACGGTTTAGGTGTTTTCTGAACGTTTTCTACTTTTCGGCTTTTTATTCAGGATATCCCGTTTTCGAAATACGGAATATCCCGTTTTTAGCCCAATAGGAATTCCAATCTAGACAGCCCACAATCAAGGCAGGCGAGGCAAGGAGCGCTATGCAGTGGCTTTGAGTATGTGCCTGGTTGTAATTATATAGACCATAGGCTCCCTCACTCCCATCTGTCTAAGCGAGGTGGGACTAAATTGAGAAGGGCGCCTGGCGGCTGGCGCTTGCAGCTTGCAGCGTGCGAGTTGGCTGCTGCCAGCCTGCCATGCTGAGCGGCCATCGGGGCAAGTGAGCTGTTTTGCCAAGCGTAGGGAGAGGAGGGAGGATAAATTAGCCCAAAATGGATTTTGTATTTTTGTGACAACTTTTGTAATTCCAAGAAAATCAAGGAGGGGGGTTTGAAGTGATTTGATTTGAATTCTAGGAAGGGGTTTGGGTTGGAGATTCAAGGTAAATATTTTTGGTGCCACAAATAAATTCCATAAAGCACATCAACACACGAAATGCATATGGTGATTTTAATGGAAGGCTTTTGGAAAAAGATTTTCAAATCAGTTTTGCAGAAAATAAGCTAACCAAGTTTTAATTTGTTGTAAAATTTTAAAAACTTCAATTTTTTTAGTGAATTTTAGCACGAGGAAAACACAGGGGGTTACAACTTGTCCTATGAGTCGGTATTCCGTATTGATTTTACGTATACCGACCGTGTTCGACATAATTCCGCTCGATTTGGTTCGTTTTCAAAATTCTCGATATTCCGTAAGTTTGCGTTCATTTTCGTGTCTGGCTTTACTCCTTTCACTTTCGTTTTCGTATCCAAATGTAGAAGTAGAAAACAGTTGAGGGTTTTCCGACCGTTTCTGGCCGTTTTCATCCCTACTCCTAAAGATAGCATATATAGAATGGGGCTTTTGTGTTCATGCCCCTATTTTCGAAGGTTATGGTGAATTTGCCCTCGTTTTTTCAACTCTATGATTTTGCCCCTATTTTTTGAAATCAAAGCTAGAGTTTGCCCCTACTCTGTTAAGTCCTTCTAACAGTGTCATCTGACGTATCAAATGACTATTTCTGCCCATGCAAATTTGCCCTTGCTTCTCTTACTCCTTTGTGATTTTACCTTTATTTTGGCATGAAAGGTTAGACATTTTTTTTACATATTTGACGACGATTTTTGCAAGTACACGATACAATTTGCATGCTTTTTAAATCTGAGCAAACTTTAAAAAATTAGGTCAATTCACATTGGATCCAACAAATACTAAATAACACCAATGCAAAATGAGGCTCGGCTTTAATGAAGTTGAGCAGATTTCCAAACATGAAATTTGGGATCCAATGACTAGAGTAGTTTTTCACAAAATGAAGCTTTTCTAGAACAAGAAGCGGGTCAGAGTGACGAATAAGAATTAGTTCTCTGTAGGACGCCACCATCCAAATCGAGCTCGCCACCATACAATATTACAATTGGACCTCACCAGTATCCAAATCAAGTTTGTCGCAACATGAATCATCTAGGCTGAACAGGTGAGGCATGGGGTGGAAGATAAGGATAAGGGGTATTTTGGTACTTTCCTGTTGTTTCAATCCCTTTTTCTATTATTTATTTAATATCCCAGCCACTAACGGCATCCCAAAGAAGGGGCTAACGGCAGATTCAAAACAAAAATGTGAGGGTAAAATCACAAAGTTAAAAAAAAAGAGAGAGTAAAATCGCCATTAGCCTGTACAACAGGGATAGAAACACCAAATTCCCTAACTTTAAAGGTACAAGGACAGTTTGGATCCGTAGAGGTGATAGCTCGAGCTATTTGTTGGCTAACTACCAGTTAGATAACTATTAGTAATGGGGTTGTTTGGATCTAAACATCTTAAGGTGGTTGGATTATCCATAATGTGCTTGCATCTTGTACTGCTATGGCACCGTTCACTTGATGGGTGACAAGGACTGCTGCGAGTGCAAAATAGGCATTTGGCCATCTATTAGCTGAAATTAGCTAGGTTTTGGTAGCTAGTGAGATAACCATTAGCTAGGTGGTTGGCTAATATTAGCTGTGTTTGGATCTATTAGTGCTATTTTTAGCAGCGGCTTCCTCCACTCCAATTTGTAGGCCACTTTAGTTTTGTCCTAACTCAAGCTTTTCTAAGTGTATAACCAAGTTTATAGGAAAAATATACCAACACGTTTGACACATCAATTTATTTTAACTAAATCCATCATAAATTGTTTTTTTTCTCGAACACGCAGGAGAACTGCGTATCTTTATATTAAGAAGAAAAAAAGGGGGGCAAGAGCCCTTACAACACACACTCACACTCCTAAGCTCTTAGACAAACACACGCGCCTTTTACTAATATAGGAAACGACTTCACCTCTCAATATTGCATTTATTTTGTATTCTACATGTTAATATATATTTCCAAAAAATTGATCAAAGATAAAAAAAAGTCTTAGGATAAAACTAGAGTGACCTGTAATTTGGAATGGATGGTGTAACTATTAGTCCTAATGGATCTAAACAAGTCCATTGTATATTGGATGTTTACAAGTAAAAATATGGCTGGACATGATATGCAAAAGAGAAGGGACACAAAGCTGACCATGCTGGAGGATCCGAATCCTTGTCACTCATGAAACAAATGAAGAATTAAGAAGCCATTGTGCCATTGCCAGCAATAGACGAACCAGCAGCACAAACCACCAGATGTCCTTTATTACTGAAAACAGAATTCGGTTCGTCATGTGGCATTTGGGTGTCAGTCTCCTGTACTCGTTCCCTCGGTTCGTCATGTGGCATTTGGGTGTCAGTCTCCTGTACTTGTTCCCTCAGTTCATCATGTGGCATTTGGGTGTCAGTCTCCTGTACTCGTTTCCTCGGTTCGTCATGTGGCATTTGGGTGTCAGTCTCCTGTACTTGTTCCCTCAGTTCATCATGTGGCATTTGGGTGTCAGTCTCCTGTACTCGTTCCCTCGGTTCGTCATGTGGCATTTGGGTGTCAGTCTCCTGTACTTGTTCCCTCGGTTCATCATGTGGCATTTGGGTGTCAGTCTCCTGTACTAGTTCCTCTGACAGAACAGAGCAATTTACAATTTCATTCTCAGTTGTCCCAAATGAAGCAGAAGCTCCTCCAAGATAAACTTCAGGTGGTACAGGTCTTTTGAGCAGAAGAACTTTTGGTTTGTTCGGATGTTCCTTAACTGCCCTCACCAAGTTCACTTTAGTACCATTGGTGACTCTTATATCGAGTGTTACTTCCCTCAGTCGTGTGAAACCTTTAATCTGGATTCCATAGAGGCCATCCATATCTTCACAAAGCAGCTGAAGAGATTCAAGAAATGGCAAGGCGCCTTCTTCGATCTTTGGGAACGTTGGACGCTGCAGCACAAAACATAGGCAGAGCAGCCTTGGCAATGCCTTGTTCTTAATGGTGATTTCTTCAAGTTCATCAGCAATCAGCTTCAGGTACTGCAGATGCTTCAAATTTGTCAAAGCTGAGAGAAGATCTGCTGTAAGTTTAGTTGACTGAAGGCATAACTCCCTGAGTCGGCGCAGTGCCGTGACAAACCCAGGGAGTTCCAGTAACCTGCCCTGTAATTTCAGCGACCTGAGATAGCAGGGCGCTTTCAATTCTTTCAGAAAGTCTTCGGAGCATCCGTCCAAATGGAGTGACAAAGAACGAGGATCATTGCTTGCATCCTTGTCGTCATGAATGAACTGCTGTATGGCCTTCTGAAGAGTGGTCAATTTACTACTAGTTGCAGATGACTCACACCAGATCTTTACCTTCCGCAATTTTTTCATATGACCCACAAGTTCTGCAAATCCGTCACTTTCATCTACAAGAAATCCTGCCAGTGTCTGCACTTTACATTTTGCTGAAGTAAGAAATTTCTGCAGTTCATCATTTATGGCTTTATCTGGAAGCTTGAATTTTCCAAAGAGATGAATTATATGGGGCAGCTGAATAACTTCAGTTGGAAGTATCTTTACATTCGTTCTCCTTAGGTTGAGTGTCTCCAAAAGTTTCAGTTGTTTTATCTCTTTGGGAAGGATGGTAACATTTCCTCCTAGGCTCAGATATTTAAGAAGCAATAGGTTGCATATTTCTGTGAGATGATCATTTTGCAAGTCTGTACAGTCTTCAAGGTCCAAGACCCTTAGCAGTTGGTACTTGTTGAAATTCAACATAGTTTTACCTGCCTCCCCAAATACTATCAGAGATCTGACAAGAGAGAGATCAATGTTCAAAGTGGCACCATCTGTAATAGTGTTGTGACGGAGAGAAACACGACGGGCATTTTTAGGTTGGAGCCCCCCTCCATCAAACAAAGTGACGAAGTTTTCATAGAGAGACTTGAGCGTAATGTACTCATGCATCATGCCATAAGTTTTGCATGTTTTCACAATTGTGTTGTTGCTCACATCAATGGGTTCGATGATGTTCTGGTCCAAGAGCTTCTCGAAATTTTCAGCTGCAAGGTCAGTGCATAAATTTGTTGGCCGCACAAATCCCTCAGCTAACCATTGCCTCTTTAGCCTTTTCGCCCTTACTGGATGATCACTTGGAAACATAGCAAAATACAGAAAGCAAGCTTTGAGAGCATGGCTAGGCAGACTGGTGTAGTCATGGATCAGCACCTGATGCATTCTGTCCAAAGTATCGTCACCACTCTGCAGATGGTAAAACCATACCTGGTTGCACACATCTTCACAGTCATGTCCTGTTGGCCAACTCTTTTTTCCCATGAATTGGCCAACGGTAGTCAGAGCGAGTGGTTGACCATCACATTTCTTCAAAATTGCTGCCAGATCAGGCCCCATGTACTCTGAATATTCCACCGGACAAGCTTCCTTCAGGAATAACTGCTTTGAATGTTTCTCGTCAAGTCTTCTCATTTTGTGAATATAGCCGTTGGTAGAGCTGCAAGTATTAGCCACTGACTTGATTTTCGTTGTCACCAATATTCTGCTGCTAACATCTCGAGGAAAGGCAGACTTTATAGTACTCCATTGATCTGACCGCATGTCATCAATTACAATGAAATACCTGGAATATTGTGAAATGAGAATACACAAATCAACAAGAACCTCCAACACCATAGTGATCAACGCATGAAGGAAAGGTAATCATTTATTTTCATTTGGCATCGTTCTCCTTCAGAAATAAATACATGTTTTCTACAGTTAAAAAGAGTAACTGCTCCTTATTGTGGTATATATATTAGCATGTGCAGTATATATGGAGGCCAGAATTCCAAGAGTGGCTTTTGCAGTTCTTTTATTAATCTCCTTAGTTTTATAAGAGCTGTAGGCAAAATTACGTACATATTTGAATAATTTTACTAAACCATTTGTGAATACGCAAATACATTTTGTACCACAAAACTATGTGACTAGGATCTCTTTCTCATAACTAAAGTCTCTGCATGCTGTCTACAGTTGGCTTTAGAGAAAGATTTTCATAAAATTATTAAGTAGGCAACTGTCTTCTGTTGTCTAAGGGGTGGTAGAAAACTATTGAGATCACTTTCAACTGCTTGGGTTGACCTTCAAATTCTGCCAACTGCCCCAGAAGCTCCTCAAGGGGTGGCTTGATGCCAACCAAATCAGCCGGAAGGATATGCTGATTCAAGGATGATTCTGCTGGCTGGAATGTGGATGGACGGGACACTGAATACCTCTGTTGCCGTTGGAGTGCTTCCTCCAATCTGCACCTTAGTTGCTGCATCTCTTCGCCTAACTGTGAACGTGATTTTCTCTTCTTCCCAGTTTTGACCATTTTACAGTACCATGGCTGTTGCTGTTCCCAAGATGCATCATACACGATGTGGTCTATACAGTCCTCCATTTCATGAGCTAATTGTCGCAACTCTTCAATGGACAAACGCAGTATGTGATCATCCTGCCCCAAGAGCTGCCCATCAATGGCACTAGTGATCATTTTAAGCTCGCTCTTCAGAAAAGCCAGATCTCCTTCAAAGCCCTTGTACAACTTGTATTTCTCCTCCGCCAGCGAGAACAATCTCGACACGAGGTTCTCTAGAAATGCACTTAACAGGCCTGGGTCCTCCATCGACCACAATGATTGTTAGGCGCTGACGGTTCCTAGTGGTGAGGAGATGAAGTGCACCCAGGTTTGTGCATACTGACGATGGGTTGAATAAAACTGACAAGAGAGCACATAAAACTTAAGGAGCATCTTATAGCAGGGGAGATGACCACATCCTTCTTTTCATCTGACAGTAAATAGCATTTGTTAGCATATCTAATATTGTTTGCAGCACTTTTTACACTAAATATATCATATAGATGCAGAATACTAACATTAAATTACTAGTCAATACTACCTTATTTTCAAAAAAAAAGTCAGTACTACCTTGAGAGTCCAGCACACAAATGAAGAGGTTATATGTAGTGAACACTTCCAAAGAAATTATAGCAGTGCTGATACATCGGTATGACCACTGATATTCACCCTTTATAACCCCTGAAAATAAAAAGTTGCGACAAGGATAAATCATTAGAAACAAGCTTTGTGGATCAAAAACTAATATACTGAGATAAGCCCAAATTGTGTACAAGGGACACAAGCTTTGTTTAATTCAAGCTTTGTTTTTGCTATATATGCAGAGAGGATGAATCATTAGAAACAAGCTTTGTTTTTGCTGTATATGCAGAGAGGAAAGAGGAAGAAGATGAAATTGTGTTATGTGGAGGGGGATGTAACTGATGAACTGAGATAAGCCCTGGTGGGAGATACTCTTTAAAAACCAATCAATGGTGGGCTGAATCAAGTGGGGGGGAAAATCTTTACCTTATTCGTGACAAAAAATAATTGAATAAAGTCCCTCGGAAAGATGCAAACCGATCAAAAGGAGTTTGTTGCCAAATGAATAAGGTAAAGAGCTGATGACCAAATAGTGAGCTTGGAGATCTGGATCTAGATGAGCAGCACGGCAGAAGACTCCAAAACAGAGTAGTACTACACCACAATACACCTAAGATAAGAGCTGTGCCAGAATCAGATTAGGAGAATCTAAACCAGCTTATGAAGTAATTCAGCTACATGATGTTTAGTTAGGCCTCATCGATTGAAAGCGGCATCTATTACGCACCTGACGTTGTGCTGCAGCTGGAGCTCGCTGGTGAGGGGAGGAGACTTTGACTTTGACTTGGGACTTTGGGCGAGATGCACACATTTGTCATATGATGGTCTCGTGGTTGGTTATAAGGGAGGGCTAACACCGTTAATGTTTCAACAAAAGGCAACAATACCCGTCTTCTTCTTTCCTCTCTGCATAAAAGAAACACAAGCACAGATTCTGTACACAAGGGACTTCGACAAATATCCAACTCCAGCAACATCAGGGAGGTCATTGGTGTAGAGAGCCTGTCAAACTCGCTGGCATCAACAGGCTCCCTCCCATCCGTGCCGGCGTGTGTGAGCGAATGGAGCACCAAGCCACTACCGGCGCGCTGGTGCCTCTACTTGAGGAGGCAGATGGTCACCGGCTACCAGACCATGGTCGTCGATCGATGGTAGGTAGGTCATGGATTCATGGTAGGCATGGGAAGGGAGGCTCCACTAGTAGAGGCAAAAGAGAGAAATAGACTTCTTGTTTATCGGTAGAGCATGGGAAGGGAGGCTCCACTAGTAGAGCCTGTCATAATAAGCTTACTTGGAGTTTTAAATGTTGTTAATATTTTCTACAAAAGTTTGACCTGCACAAAATCTTAGGCGACTCTTTTCTAGAATGAAGGTAGTGTATAGGTAGGGCACCTAGAACTAAAGTTTAGTTGGACTAAAAGTGAACTAAAAGCAAATAGTTTTCATGAACAAAAGACTCATATGCACCTTTTAGTCTATATTAATATCTATTTGCCAACTAATGAGCTAATGGTTAGTTAGGCTGGAAACTAAAAATTAGTTTACTTTTAATTTACTTGTTTGAATACCTGGACCTAAAGTTTAGTCCATGATACCAAATAGACCCTAAAGCAAGTGCCACTTTACTCTTCTAAATAAATTCTTCTCCTTTTCTTGTCAGAGAGCACCCAGTCAATGAGACCGCTTTTGGGGAATCATAAAATTAGATTTACATTTAGGGTGGTCTCTGCCATTTTCCATAATAAAGAGGAATACTGCATTATTCTTCTGCCACTAGTGTTGGATGGTTGGACCGTCTTTTTACAGAGGCATAAGAAAAGTAGCGAATCAGACAGAACTTAGGGCACTCCCAATGTAGAATTAATGGTGGTTTCTATCTCTATTAAATGAGATGCCAACTCAGCAAAATGCTGACATGGCAGCCTAATTAATGAAGAAAGAGATGAAAAATAGAAGAAACCGTTTCTTCAAGAGGAAACGAAGTCGTCTCTTGAATCGATGCATGAAGAAACTGCGATTTCACTGTTGGGAAGAAACGAGTCGTTTCTATCAAGTTGCGGCACCTGTGATGGCTTGCTGGCCGCCGCGTGGCACGCTTCGCTTCAACGCCCCGCTGGCTTACCACTGCTGGCGTAGCGCTTGCCCGGCCATACCGCCGCTTCGCCAGCGCCATTGCCATTGCTGACACAAGGCATCATCGCCGGCCGCCACCACGCTGGCCCGCTCGCTCGCCGGCCGCCACCATGCTCGCCCACACCGCCGCTGCACGCGCTAGCAAGCAGCCACCGCGCCAGATCAGCGCCAAAATCACGAGGCCGCGGCACCGGAAGGGGCAGGACAAGAAGGCCGTCGTCATCTACTAGGGCATCCAGCCGCGGAAGATCATGAAGGAGGACGGCACAGAGTGGAGGTGGTTCTGCTTCAGGCTGAGCACTTGATCTGCTCTACACATTGCAACCGCCGGGTTCCAATTTGTGATGGTCGCCGTTTGATTGTTCGTTGTTCGTTCATATGCATCATGTACGTACGTGCAACCATGGGACACGCATAGAGCGGACACGTCGATCGACATGAAGAAGCACCACGAGCCGCCGGCGTCACGCGCGCCTCTCTGGGCAGCGCGCACCCGACTACACTCAGCTTTCGCCGGCGCCGCCGCAGACGCGCGCTGCGCCGCCACGACGCCATTGGGCGGTGCGCAAGACCTTCGCCCGTCAGTGGCTGCACAAGGCGTGCTAGCAGCTGCTCTCGCCAGCCGAGCTCGCCCACGGCAGAGAATACCAGAGGCAGAGGCGAGAGCATCCATGGTAATCGGTGGACGAAGAGAGAGAAAAACACACATTTATTACGCGGAGAAACCCGCATTGTGGGGATAGTTTCTATAGATGAAATTTTGCTCACATGGTTACTACGGAAACCGTGCGTAGTGTCTACCGTTGGGACTGCCCTTAGTGGTGAACTGCAAAACTCCATTAGCAGAGGCCACAATTGTCTGTTCCTTTATTCCCTGGTTCCCTTTCCCCATGGACCGTCTTTTTACAAATCTTCTGGCACTAGTGTTGGATCGTCTTTTTACAAATATACATACGATCGAGTAAAGAAAAGTAGCGAATCAGACAGAACCTAGTGGTGAACTGCAGAACTCCATTAGCAGAGCCACGATTGCCTGTTCCTCCTATTCCTATATTCTCTGCTCCCCTTTCCCCTCTCAGATTTTCGTCTGCGGTGTCAATCCGAGACTAATGGTGCGGAGTAGATAGATAATATAACTACACCTCCTCTCGATGCTTTGTTTTCTTCCCATGAGATGAGATGCAGGGTCCGATGTTCAGTTCTTCGCTGGGCGCCATGGGGTCCCTTCTTGGGAAGCTCCGTTCATTGCTGTTGTGTACACAGGATGAGGATCATCAGGTGCCAGAGCCAGAGTCAGAGATAGAGCCACTGCAGGCACATAAGGAGAAGCTCGAGCTCCTGAAACAAGATCTCGAAGCAATAAACAACTCCCTCCTGAATCTGTCATGGGTGGAAGCTCCCAACATGATGGTGAAGCACTGGACGAACGAGGTGCGTGATCTGTCCTACGATATTGAGGATTATATTGACAAGAGGGTGCACGCAGCGGGCCTCGGTTGTAGGGAAGAGTGGCGTTCCGATGTCGACGTGCAAGAAATAAACACGCTTGTGAAGCGGGCCAAGGACGCCCGCGAACGACACAACAGGTACGATCTTGGGTGCTGGGCATCGAATCCTAGATTTGTGGTCCATGATGGGCAAGGCCGGGTTCCAAGGCTCGACGTCAGCGGGTACCCCGGCCAGATCCGCGCGAGCGAGCCAGCTCCTGCAACCCGGCAGCCGGCGTCGGCGTCAGCATCAGGGCAGACGACGGCGGCGCTCACGCCGTTCATCGCCAAGACGTACCAGCTGGTGGACGACCCGGCGGTGGACGACGTTATCTCGTGGAACGACGACGGGTCCGCCTTCATCGTTTGGCGCCCGGCGGAGTTCGCGCGCGACCTCCTGCCCAAGTACTTCAAGCACAGCAACTTCTCCAGCTTCGTGCGCCAGCTCAACACCTACGTGAGCCCATCGTCGTCCCATTGCATCGTTTGATCTAGATTTCTTTCTTCTTCCGTGTTGTCTCGGCATGGCACTGACTGTTGTGATCCGCGGTACCCCCGGGTGCAGGCATTCAGGAAGATTGTTCCGGACAGGTGGGAGTTCGCGAGCGATTGCTTCCGGCGAGGGGAGAAGCGGCTGCTCTGTCACATACACCGCCGGAAGCCGGACGCGGCGTCAACGGGCCCGGTAACCGTGGCCGCTGCCACCGCTGCGGCAGCCAAGCCGATGGATCTGCCCGTGGATCCGCTGTTGTACGCCGGGGAGGGGGAGGCCAAGGACCTTGTTGGTATCGATGATTCCAAGGTCGAACTTATCAAGCGGCTCAACATTGACGCCGAACAGAGGCTAGTAGTATCCATACAAGGACCTCCAGGTGTTGGTAAGACTACACTTGCCAAACAAGTGTACCGTGAAGTGGAAGGACAGTTCGAGTGTCGAGCTTTCGTTCGAGCCTCAAAGATGCCTGATACAAGGAGGCTTCTCGGTAACATCATCTCCCAAATCCAGGGCCGCCATCAAAGACCCCCTCATGGTCTCCCCGTGCAAGAGCTCCTTGACATCCTAAGAACACATCTCCAACAAAAGAGGTATAAGTGTATGTTTAGCAGTGCTTCCTCCTTTTCCAAAAGCATGCACAGTATGATTGGCTTTCTGTTTTCAGCATTTATATGATGAAATGGTAGAGCTTGACCAATCACTGGATCAACAGGAAAAAATTCTGAAAAGAAAATCTTGATATACTAGCCGATTCACCTACGCACTGAATTTCTGAGTATGTGATTATGAATTCAGTGCACAGGTAAATCTTGATATACTAAGTGGCTCCATCTCCGGCTATAGCTGCTACAATGAGTATGAATAGCAACAATGAGAAAATCTGACAACTCCTGAATTGTAAGGAAAAGGAAAAAAACAAATTAAAAATATAGATGTCACTACTGACAATAAACTTATCGTTTCTGCTTCTCCTAACACAGTGGAGTTTAAACTTGAAACTGTGAAATCGTGATAAAAGTAAATACCAGTATTTTGAGCCTACAAACTCAAAGCAGGTGTGCAAGTTCATCAGGTCAAATAAGAAAATTTGGAACTATTAGGGAAACTGGAAAGCCAATGCAAATATAATCCTTATGTTCCATAAGTTTGGATTGTCATGTTTTTGTAATTTTTATATTGCACCTAGCCTGGCACATAATAATTATAAAAATATTTGGCAGGTATTTCATTGTAATAGATGGTTTGTGGGAAACAACATCATGGGATATTGTTATCAGCGCATTTCCAGAGGACACTCATTGTAGCAGAATATTAATAACTACAGATATTGAGGAAGTAGCTCTGGAGTGCTGTGATTATGAACCTGATGCTATTTTTAAGATGGAGCCACTTAGTGGAAATTACTCCACAGAATTGTTCTTCAATAGACTGTTTGGTTTTGAACATGAGCTCTCTAAACAATTGAAGGAAAACTCAGAAGAAATTATAAGAGCATGTGGTGGTCTGCCTTTCGCGACCATTAGCGTAGCTACCATTTTAGCTGGCCAACCAGATAACTTAGAGCTGTGGCAACATGTCAAAGAAGCATTATTTTCCAGATTGAGATATAATAATCTTACTTCGGAAGTCATGCTAAGAGAAATAATAGGTCTGAGCTGCAATAGTCTTCCTCACCATTTGAAGACATGTCTGCTATATCTTAGTATGTATCCTGAGGGTTCTGCATTCTTGAAGGCTGACTTGGTGAAACAATGGAGTGCTGAAGGTTTTATAATTGCAGTAGAAGAGAAAAATTGTGATGAAGTTGCTGAGTGTTATTTTGATGAGCTTATCTGCAGGGGACTGATACAGCCCAATCATACCAATATCTCAGATGAGGTGATTTTATATACACTGCACTCCACTGTATTCGAAGTTATTAGGACCATGTCCATAGAAGAGAACTTCAGTACTATGATAGACTACTCCAATACCATCTCAGAGCTCTCTGTAAAGGTTCGACGACTATCTCTCAGATTCAGTACTGCCAAATATGCAACGAGACCAGAAAGCATTACACTATCCCCTGTTCGGTCACTTATCTTTTATGGACTTGTTGAGTGCCTCCCTTCGATTATGGAGTTCGAGGTACTTCGAGTTCTTATTCTTGAAGTTTGGGGTGACAAGGAAGAGTTATTAGACCTCAGTGGCATCGGCAGATTGTTTCAGCTGAGGTACATGAAGATTACATCTAATATCATTGTGAAACTACCAGCCAGAATGATTGGACTGCCATATTTGCAAACAATGGAAATTTATGCAAGAGTAACTTCTATTCCATCAGATATTATCTATCTCCCCAGATTGCTGCACCTCTGTGTACATGGTGAGATAAATCTGTCCTATGGTATTGGTCACACGAGATCTCTGCGCACACTTCAGTCTTTCGACCTCAGCAGTAACTCTGCAGATAGTATATGGCAACTTGGTGAGATGATGGACCTGCGTGATCTTCATGTCACCAGTGCTACAGAAATGTCTGACCCTCTGAAGACGAAGTTGATAGCTTTCCTTTCATCCTTTGGGAAACTTGGCAATCTAAAATCTATAATTCTTGCTCCTGCTCCTGCTCCTGCTGCTTCATGCACAAACATTTACTTGGATTGCTCATGGAGCACATCTCCTCTGTCCATCTTCATTCAGAGACTTGAGTTGTTGCCGCCCTTTTGCATCTTTTCAAGACTCCCTGTATGGATTGGACAGCTCCGGAAGCTATGCATTTTGAAAATTGTTCTTAGGGAATTGACGACTGGTGATGTTGACAGCATCGCCCAATTACAGGAACTCACCATTCTCTCTCTGTATGTCAGGCAACCAACCGCAGAACAGATTGTCTTCCATCGTGCAGCATTTCCTGTTCTTAAATTTTTCAAATTCAGATGTGGCATTATGCGCATTGCTTTTCAGCCAGAAGCAATGCCTTGGCTTCGGAGTCTGAATCTTGAATTCAATGCCCACAGTGGAGAGCAAAATGGTAATATGCTTGCCGGCATTGAACACCTGTTAAACCTCCAAGAGATCACTGGCCGAATTGGGGCAGCACCAGGTGCAGAGGAATCCGACAGAATAGCTGTGGAATCTGTGTTCAAGGATGCCATTAGCAAGCATTCAAGACTTACAAACTTCAACCTACGAATTGTGGGTTTGTTTGACGAAGAGTACGTGGCTTCCTTCTCCTTGTAATATCACTGAAACGTTATAATAAACTGTTGCTAGCTACTTGATTGTGTCCCGGGCTGGTGTGTTTCCCTTAGCCTAAAGCAGTTTCCAAACTAGCTGAAGAAATTTCAAATGAGATTGCTATACTTTCAGATTGTAGACTTTCTGTTGAGAGTTAATAACATCAAAATAAGAGGACTGCCGAGGTTCAATACTTTATTTACTTGATCAAGTTTAATCTATGGGTTTAATCATGGTGCTAGCTCCACCTATTTGACGATGTGCATGCAGTTAAGATTTCTGGCGTGAAACAATTTTTATACAAGATCTGTTAATAAGTTGTCCTGCTTCTTTTTTTTTTCTCAACACAAATAAGTTGCCTTTAGGTGAAAAACTGTATGAAATAATCTTTTTTGGTGAAGATAAATACTCCACTAATTATTTCATTTGATGTTTACTTTTTTTCCTCTTATAATCTTAAAGTAGCCGATCAGCAAACATGATTGCAGGAGTAAACCTATTTGCTATTTTTTTTGGTTATTATAGAGTTCTAGTTGGTATGGCTGAAATTTCTATTGATTCTAATTCTAGTTCTAGTTCAAGTTACTATCAGTTCTAATTTTCATGACTAAAGATAGACGTGATATGCAAATGTAATGCATCTAAAATAATACCCACTACCAAATAAGAACACTACCATGAAACATAATATTAATGTATATTGGGTATATGTTATACAATCTCTGCAGGTGGCATAAAAAAAGTGAGCTGGACAAGGTAGCTACAGTTGTTGAAGCGTCGCAATCCAACGATGCTAGTTCAACACCTAATCAGGTCATCTTCAGCACGCCGTTCCAGGCGATCTCGGATACGGATAGGCGGTCGTGGGATGACGGCTACAACTGGCGCAAGTACGGCCAGAAGCATGTGAAGGGGAGCGAGTACCCGAGCAGCTACTACAAGTGCACCTTCCCCAGCTGCCTTGTCAAGAAGAGGGTAGACAGGTCGCAGGACGGCCAGATCATCGAGATTGTCTACAAGGGTACGCACAACCATGTGAGGTGGCTGCAGAGCGGTGGCAGCGAGGCGTTCGAGCACACGTGTAGCGGAATGTCGACCATCACTACCGTCGCGACGTCGTACACATCGTCGTTTGGGAGCAACGAGATCGGGGTGAGCTCGCTGCGGGCCGGAAACTCCAGCGGCGACGAGTTTGATGAGCAAGAGGTGGATTCCAAGACATGGTGAGTGTTTGGTTAAAATAATTTCGCCATATAAGCTCTATTTCTGTTGCATTTTGGGACCCTGTGAATCGAATTACTACGTTAGATAATGGTGAATTAAATTAAATTAGCAGCACTAATTACACGGATTAGACACAAATATTTCAACTTCCTATATAATAGCTACAGCTAGTTAAAATTATTTAGCTTTGCTCCGTCTTTATGAATTTTCTAACACAATACTACAAAATAATCAATTACTCTATGTTTTTCATCTATATTCATAGTTTTTGTCCCTTGGAATGACATGCCATTATGCCCAATTGGAATTTAAATTAAATCTTAGCTTTATGCTATGAAAAATCTTGCCCTTTTTTTAAGTAAAATTATGAGGGAGTTTCCCATAATGTTACATTAAGGGATTATTCGGCTAATCCCCAATTCAAGAGAATTGAGGGGTGGGGGTGGGATGTTTAAAGTCCTCAATCCTTTTCAATCCCCTTCAATCTCCACTAAACCGAACAAGGTCTAAAGCAAGAAAATATATACCAAGGTTATGGGATATATATACAAATATATATAGACAAAGAAAAAGGTAACAAAATAATTATACAATGTTATCTATCCATGGAAAAACTAATTATGCTTTGTAATGGTAGAGGTAGGTAATTTAGACGTAGACCTAAGCATTCGTTTATGTTCTTTTTCATAATACAGGGGTGGATACTTTTTAAGAATATAACAGATTCAATTGTCATTATTATCAATGGTGGTTTGAGTCTACCAAATTGATGGCTAGATTTTTTCTACTTTTTAAAATTTTATGATTTAGAATTTTTCCTAACACAATTAGTAATATTAAGATTGTTAAACTGTACTTTATTTACGTTACTTGGGTTCATAATATAAAAGCTGGTCCTTATCATCTAGACTATCAAAATGGGAATACTCCACAATACTAAAACACTTTAGCTAGATGAAAACAAAACACTAATGTGGAACATAATATTTATGTACTAGAAGCATTCCCCGTACGTTGCTGTGGGAATTGCGGATGAATTATAATGAAGTTACACTAAATTACTCATATGAAGGAATAAATTATTATAAATTAATGGTAGTGGATGGCGTGCCATACTATTAATGATGACCTGTGATAGTGGACTGCTGAGGTGGACTGCTTGCATGTCGAGAAAGAATTGCTATTGAGATTTAGGATTATAAGAGAAGCACAAAAAATTCTGTATTTTTGAGGGCGCCTCCCCAAGTATCTAGCTGGTTCTCCAAAATGTGAAAGAGCAGTGTGGACTATGGTGTTCGGCTGGTGCTCGAAACCTCTCCAAGTTGGTCTCCTCAGGTTTTCCGAGCTGAGTCAGGGGAGTTATTTTGCTTGACAGTACCTTGTTGTTTATGTTTAGGTGTGTGTGCTGTGGGCTGGGGTTTATGGCTGGGTCTCTTGACCTCTCTTGTGTAGCCCATTAGCTGTTGTTGGGGTTTTTGGTTATGGTCTCCTGACCTTTTCTTGTAGCCTGTTTTTTTTTCTTAATGAAATGACACACAGCTCTCCTGCATCGTTCGAAAAAAAGATTGGGTATTAAACAACCTCTTGTCGTCGTTAATAAATTTTGGTGTCCTTGGTTGCATGAGTTTGAACGTGAGACACTGAGTATACAAAGTAACTCGATAAAAATGGGTCATTCCTGGGTGTCCATCAATAATGATGAAAATTAAATAAAAGAATCTGATCTTGCATATATAATACCCCCTCCATTAGCATTCTAGTTTCGTCCAGTTGACTATTGTGACCCGTGTATTATGTTCTGGTAGGATTAGTCTCACCTTGGTTATTATATAGGTTCGTTAGCTAATAATCCTTGCCACTCCAAACATAGCACCTTCGGATTAACCATTTTATACAAAGCAATGAAACCGTAAGAGATGCTATGTGTATGAACGTGAGGAATTGGATCATAAGCAGATTTTTGACAGGATGTTACAACAGGAGCATTATAAAACATATTCAAACAAAGACCATGGGATGGTCTAATATACGAGATTAATGTAGTAAGAATTATTAGGTATTCATTTAGCATTTATTATGTTGGTGTATGATTCCTAATCTTTTTTTTATTTAGTATTCGTTTAGCACGTTGGTCCCAATCTAAGTATTTTTATTTGGTATTCCATTATTAGGCAATAGGAGATTGTATATTGCATATTTAGGCAGTCCAGTCAATTAGGATCAGAGATTTACTCCTGTCCTTGTATTTGTAAACTGCCATATATAGCAGCAACAGCTGCCCTATAATAGAGGCGCCCCTCTCCCATTGAGAGTGTGGCTTATTGCCCCAACATCATCTTCTACATCCATGGATGAGTATTCTATCCATAATCTAACAGTTTCTTTACTGTTAACTATATCATAAAGTTCACCATTCGTATACTTCTCTATAGATAAATATTGAAGACACTGTTTGGCATATTTATTTGTTTCTTAATTTGTCATATCTTCTTGTTTTAAAATAGTACACGTTGTTGTTGTTAGGGTCCGCTTCGATGATGCTCCAGCAAGCAGTTCTGGTTCAGGTAATTCATTTTCATTCGGACTACGAACTTCCTTTTCACAGCGAAGTACATTAGACGTACCAGATTTTTATTAATTATTTGCAAGTGTTATGAAACTATACATTAAAGTATGGCAAAATATATATACAACTTTGCAGCGATCGCTACCGCTACCGCTGAACTCTTAATTCTTACTGGCCCATCACTGTTGGACAATTTAAAACCAATATAGTGATAGGATAATCACTGCCAATTTGTAAGCAAAAAGGCTATTACTATCAAATTATAAAATCAACTAGCAGTGATAGATAATTATCACTGGTGGGTTGTATTACCAACAAGCGATGATTTCCCGACCCCAGACCTGAATTTTTCTTAACGTGATTAACTCCCACCTCACGTCCACAGTCTGTATAGGCTCCCTCTCCTTTGTCCTTTTCTCTCCCGTCTCTCGTCTCCCTCTCACAGAATCTCCTCTCCCCCACCCGGTCTCCCTCTCCAGATATCCTCCTACCTGTGCTCCCCTCCTCCCTCTGCCACACCCCAGTAGGCCTGCCGTGGGCATGGGCGTGGGCAGCGGCCCCGGTATGCAGGGCACGAGCGGCTGCAATGGTGCTCCCAGCGGGCAGCGTGCGGGGCGGCGTCCTGGGTGGTGAACATAATGTTCTCCAATGTCGATTGCTCACCCGGCAGGGAATAGTCCCACTTATCACTGTTGCTTGCCCATTATCGGATAGCAAAACGGCAGTGATGTGGTCCATGTGGGGTTGGCAACCGACAGACAGTGATGGATGATTATGCAGAGTGGATAGTTGAGAAATATAGTTTTGTTTACCATGCTCTCTTGCCGATGTTTTAAAGTTTTTTCTTCTATTTTGTGTCCTTGAAATTCTTCTTTGCCACGGCCAAAGTTTTTGCTTATCTTTACTTTTCCTTTCATCTTCTTAAATGGTATGAATGGAAGGGAATAAAACTGAAACTCATGTGAAAATCTTCCCTTCCACACCTTTATTTTAGTTACTATCAACTTTTGCTAGATTTACACTCAACTTGTACTATAGTTTAGATATTAATTTGGTGTAATTTTTAGGTACAATTGGTGTAACCAAAAATTTGGGTGAGGGGAATTATTTCTCTGATTTTATGCTTTGGACCTTGTTCCCTAAACTCCGAAGTGTTGTATTCCATTGAAAATTTTGAATTTCACTAGTTTGTTTCTAATAGATTTCCTAAATCTAAATATTTTTCTTGATTTTGAGGTTCCCACTGGTTCCCAAATCTAAAGTTTTTGTCACCCAGAGAAAAGTTTTGAAAAATATATTGTCATTTGATAATTAGTTACTATCAACTTATGCTGGATTTACATTCAACTTGTATTGGAGCTATTGTGATTATTTTGGTATATTTTAGGTAGAATTAGTGTAACCATAAATTCAGGTGTGGAGAAGGAAGGATTATTTCATCTGATTCTCAGAATACATTTAATCCGGGTGTGGAACTCCTCTAAAATACCTAATCTTTTCACAAAATTCGGGTTTTGGAGGGAAGTTTGTCACATGCGTACATAGTAGACAACCCCTTCAAAATTAAAAGTTATGTTATGTACAATTCCAATTCTCATGTTAGAATAATTTTCCCACCAAAGTAAACATTGTACTAACTATATCTTTCTCCATTTTTCTAGTAATTAATGACTAAATATGATGGTTTTGTTTTACCTGCCACTAACACTATCGTAAAGAACAAATGGCCCAAGAGGGGTGAATGAGTTAGGCTCTAAAAACATAGTTTATGGCTCTACTGAATTTCCACTAAAACCCATAAAATAGTCTATCAAAGTGTGCACCTAAGTTTTTCTAGTGTCCTCTAACTTACTCTTAACCCATGAAGAGTTTTGCATTTAGAGCCAATCCTAACGACTAGCTAGAGCTAATCTAGGATGGTAAAAGTCACAAGACCATCACATGCAGAAATGTAAATGCATTAAGGAGCTTGAGATAGAGAGGGCAAACTCCTGAGCCGAGGATTAATCCCGTGGAATCCGTTGCCACAATGTAACCTCTAGTCCACGTTGGAGCTCCAACATGGTGCGTCCCCTATCACCACGATGTTTGCAAAGCCACAAAGTCCACCACCAACCAAAGTGTTGTAAATCAAAAAGGTTAACCACTTGCCGCCCAACAACTCTCCATCCACCTTGGCTTTGTCTTCACTATAAAGCTTCTCCACCAAGGAAGGGGTCTCCTCGTCCGCCATACACCAAGTTACCTTTGTTCCACATAAAGGTCAGAAGGTTGTCGACATCAACTTAGAGTAAAAAAGACTCCAAGTGAAAAGACACCACCTATATTACAAATGAACAAAGTCCATATCACTCTAGCTCTTAGGCTAAAGCTTAGGAACTTGCTAATCCAGCCATAAGGATTAGAAGCTTTGAATGTGAACACTAAGCTCTCATATGGGGTTGTACTCTATTTCAAAGTGTAGCAGTTTCACTCAACTTCTTTGGTCTCTAACAACTTGAAATGTCCGGCCAACGACACATATATAGGCGACCCTCCCGACGCTACCCCAACTTCTAGCCTTTGGATACAAATCTACAAAAGAAGTCATTAGTAGATGATTCGATGGACCCCAAGACCTTACACTGGATTATCCGATGAGGTATCCGACCGTTGTTTCTTCGGCCATTGATACTAGGCTCCACTACACTGGATGATACATTGCATGTTATATTTCAACTAGTGAACAATATGGTGACCATTTTCACTGAATACTTGGACCTATTCCATAGTACTAAGTTGCACTAGACAACCCGCTAGCTTCTTCACTAAGTGGACGATCCAGTGGCCTTGTTCACCAAGGACTTCAACTTGACCACCTTGCTGATTTTCATCATATGATCTGGTGGTCTTGTTTTCTTAGCGGTGGAGCCTCCAATGGGCTTTGACTTCTTTGCCTTGATACTGCATGACACCATATGATTTGCTCGGGCTAATCAACTGATCTCGTCAATGATTTGACAGGAAAATCTTCAGGAAATCTTTGTTGTTTCTTCTCCATTTTAACTCAGATTTTGATCAAACTTTTTCCTTGCATCACTAGGACCTAAATGAACTTGTGTAACACATACCAAGACACATGTTAGTCCTAGTGATTAGGTTGTTGTAAAATACCAAAACCACACACATAGAATAAGACAAAGTGCCCATATTCCTTACAAGCTCCCCCTTTTTGGTGAATGATGATAACACAATCAAAGCAAGCATAAAGATACGTAAAATTGGCTCAACTGAAGAACATATACACAAATCTTACCATAATATTGCTTGGATGCCTTACCAGGATCTCAATAAAGCATCTACATTCTTGGCTCGGTGCACTTGATACCACTTCTACTAGTATTTTAAGGCATGCCATCCACTTGGAAGTGCTCTGACATGATACAACTTGAAAACCCATACTTGGAGGCACTTCATCCTTTTTCTGCAATTGTGGCCTTGATACTACTTATATTCATTAGACCTCGGTATTGATGACATCTAACACCTACCATACTCAGGGTCCTTGGGTTGATCCTCAACTTGATGCATCAGTGTTTACGCCATTTGTAAATCAATTATGCTTATGGATCGGATATGTGCTCCCCTTATGTCCATGGGATCACCAAATTTTCCAACTCCCCCATCTTTGGAAAATAGGCATATATATTCCCCCTTGATCCTTGATCTCCTCCTTTGTCTTGCTTCTTTCATGTTGAAGCCTTCCTTTTGCCACCAAGGCTTATGTAAGACTGTTTCAATATGACTTCGAATCTTTGGAAGCTTGTTTTCATCCTCAAGGAGAGTGCTTACCTTATTTTCTCCACGGAAATCTTGTTTTAACCCCCACTCTCCTCCTTTGTCATCCATCTCCAAAAAAGTATTCAAGAATTCCCTTTCTAGGAAGCTCACCAAAAAGGGACAATATTAACAAAGATGTACATTTGGGGGATATCTTACCACTGTTCCACTTGTAGGAGCACAATCCATTCGGGGCGCATAAGATTATTTTGACATCTCTCCCTTTGTCACTACCTATGGGACCTACATAAGATAGACTTGAACAAATGTTAGTCTCAAAACCACAAGTTATAGACCAAGATCCCCCTTAGTGTGTGCTTGATGTGATCTAATCACTTGAAATGTACCACTTGAAAGGTACCAACTGAGAACCATTTACATTGATTATAACATCAATTATGGAGCAAGTCCTATAATTTTGTACAAGTGTGTATAGGAAATAAATTTAGACATGCAATGCAATCCGACACATGGTAATGTTTGTATGATGCATATTTAACATACACATTACCTTATCATGGGAAGGGAAACTTGGGTAAAACTTCCATACATACCCATTTGGCATTAGCTTGAACCTATATGATGCACCCCAAGTATGCCAAGTCACCAAATTCCATGCAATACCATGCATGGACTTCACACCTTGGGGACCTAATCCTTTTCAGGCCCATTAATGTTCTTGATCACTTCCTTCATCACTCAAATAGGATTGTTCTATCCGCAAGACTTGCACCCAACCTTGTTGGCAGCTACCATATCATTGTTTACCTTCTTGAGGATGTAGTGGTTGCACATGGCCTTGTTCTTGTAGTTGTAGTTGCGCTTCGTGTACATGATGGAGGCCTTGATGTTAGATTTTTTCTCTTCTGCTCTCTATCTTGCCATCGTTCTTGACTTGCTTGCTTTGGTAGGACTTGTGGCCTTAATGATGACACTTGGAGCATGTCATGGTTTATCCTTAATCTTTTTCACCGTGGAATCACAATTATCTTTAGAAAGTTGGACATTGCTCGCCATGTACTTGCCTTTCAAGGTTGCCACCTCCTCCTTGAGCCTCTCCGCCTCTTTTATGAGCCTATTATTCTCCTTTGAAATGAAGTTGTCGCATATTTCTATAATAACTTTCTTGCAACAAACTTTGTTACAAGTTGTTAAATCAGAAGAGATGGATGCATCTACCTTAGGAATAGGAATTGAACAAAAGGTTGATTGATCCATGAAATGAGGCTTAATTGTGTTCAGTTTCAAGACCCTCAAGTTTAGCTTAAAACTCTCCATGTTCCTTGTATAACAAATTGAATTTGTTAAGCAATTTTTCATAACGAGTAACAAAGATACTATTGAGTTCATTAGCCTTGTGAGCCTTAATTCTCTAGTTTGTTTCATTATTGCCTTTTTGTTCCTAGAACAAGTCAAGTAGGTCCTCTTCATCGTCAGAATAGTCACAACTTACATTGCTTTCAATTAATTCCCTATGGCCATAAGGTATGACTCTGATGATTTGGCGAAGAGACTTGACTTAGAGGAGCCGATTGATGAAGTTCTTGCTTGATTCATAAATTGAACTTGAGCATGTGTCTTCACCACTCACCCATTCTTATATAGCGGGCAAGCCTCATGTTTCTTCCTCCTCTGATTCTTCTTGGCCTTGGCCTTCATCTTGGTGACCATCACTCAATCAAACTATCTTATTTTTTGAGGGAAAATAAGCAATTTGGCGGTGACGAAACAGAAGGTAAACTACTTGGAGCTCATGTAGCCCATGCCGGATTAATCGTATTCTGGGCCGGAGCAATGAACCTATTTGAAGTGGCCCATTTCGTACCAGAAAAGCCCATGTATGAACAAGGGTTGATTTTACTTCCGCACTTAGCTACTCTAGGTTGGGGAGTAGGGCCGGGGGGAGAAGTTCTAGATACTTTTCCTTACTTTGTATCCGGAGTACTTCACTTAATTTCCTCCGCAGTCTTAGGCTTCGGTGGCATTTATCACGCGCTTCTGGGACCCGAGACTCTTGAAGAATCTTTTCCATTCTTTGGTTATGTATGGAAAGATAGAAATAAAATGACTACAATTTTGGGTATTCACTTAATTTTGTTAGGTCTAGGTGCCTTTCTTCTAGTACTCCGGCGAGATTGAGTCTGCATTTGTATGGTTACATAGAAAATTTTCAATTTTAAGTAAGGAAAACTTATATATAGTCCCTAAAATCAGAAAGAAAATGAAATATCTGATTATATATATATATATATATAATATAGATATTTATTTATCTATTTATTTATTTTTCTCAGACGAGATACTCGAAGGATTTTGGATGGCTGGTTGCACCAGTGAGCTAGACGAGGTAGCTGCAGTTGTTGAAGAAGTGTCGCAATCCAACGATGCTAGTTCAACACCTAATCAGGTCATCTTCAGCACGCCGTTCCAGGCGATCTCGGATACGGATAGGCGGTCGTGGGACGACGTCTACAACTGGCGCAAGTACGGCCAGAAGCATGTGAAGCAGAGCAACCCGCGCAGCTACTACAAGTGCACCTTCCCCAGCTGCCCTGCCAAAAAGATGGTGGAGAGGTCGCAGGACGGCCAGATCATCGAGATTGTCTACAAGGGTACGCACAACCACCAGAGGCCGCAGCTGCTGCAGAGCGCCGACGCGTCCGAGCACTCGTTGGGCGGAATGTCGGGCACGCCCGTCGCGACGGCCGAGGGTCTCTTGGCGTCGATTGCGGACGACGATGTCGGTGTAGGCTTGCCGCGGGCCGAGAATGCTGGCGGCGATGAGTTCGACAAAGACCAGCCGGATTCCAAGAGGTGACAATGCTTTGGTAGTTTGTTCACACAATATCCGTGCCAAATTTTTTCTGACTTTTTGTTGCCTTCTTGGAACGAACAAGCGGAAGTTAATTCCTGTTGCTTTTGTCAGGAGGAAAGACGGTGACGGTGAGGGGATCTCCATGTCCGGTGGTGGCGGAGCCAGGAATTTATGGCTGGGTATGCCACATGTATAAAATTTCGAAGCAGCCGCAGCAGGAAAAAGGGCAAGGGCCGCAGCTCGCAGGGGCGACCGGTTGAGCCGACGAGGGGGAGTGCAGGGGGCGAGTCGGCCGGAGTGGGGGACGTGGCGAGGTGCCACCCAGCGGTGCCGGTCGCCGGAGTAGGGGAGGTGCTCCATGCTCGGAGCCGTCTTGAGAAATTTGGGGCTGGAGCGACAATAAATCGGGGCCCTAAAGTATATACAAGTTGTATACAACAACAAGAACGGGCAAAGTATATACAAGTTGTATGGCTAATAAAATTAAATCATAGCTTCAGTGAAATATATGACTTTAACATGTATTGTAGACATTATTTCACTTAAATTTATAACTTTAATATGTATTCTTTTGTACCATATGTAGAAATACAGTAAAAATATTACTAACCTCGAGAATCATATTTTCTATTTCTAGTAGACATGATGTGGATTGAATTAATTTAAATAAATTCATAGAGTGTATATATATTAAGTCAAGTCCCATGCCTAAATGTCTAATGTCTTCAGCCCTTCACTCTAATCAGAGCAAAAGAAAACACAAACAAATCAAATCAGCTGACAACGGCATTAGTAAATTATTAAATTAAGAATTTGCTAGCACGCCAGGACTCTATAGGTCTAATTAACTTACCTGTTCCAGCCAGTCCAGGCACATATTTAGAGTCACAAGCAGGCCAAGATCGGAAGGCACTAGGCAGGAAGAGGACACTCGGTAGACGGGGTCGACGCTCAGTTCTTGTGATATTGCGGCAGATGAATCACCGAGTGTACTGCTTCGTCTTGTGGGGAGCGGCAGCAGATGAATCGTCAGCTAGTCAGGCACACGGCAGACAGCAACGCGCCGTGAAGCCGCACGCGAGCAGGGAAAGGGGCGCCGGGCAGGGGCGACCGAGCGACGGAGTCATGGAGATGTATTCTGGGGCTTTGTTCGTGGGCTGCCAGAAACTTTTGTTGTATTGGGCCTTCGAGTGACTCTTACAAGATACGTATAAACTTGTGTATTAGTGTATATTATACATATTCATTTTTTCTCCCAAACATGGGTATGCCAGGGCATACAGGGGCATACCCCTGCCGCCGCCCATGATGTCCGGCAACCGGACGGCGCGTGAGCCGAGGGTCGTTCTCTGAACCGAGACGCAGTCACGCAGACGCCATCACGACCACCCCCCGCCTAACGAACTCCTCCCCACCCCGACCGCCCCGCCCAGAGCGAGACACCCCACCCACGCCATGCGTCCGGGCGGCCTGCCGACACAGCAGCCCGGCACGCCGGGCCACGCGCGCCGCCGCCCAGATCTCACCCTCCCCATGCCCCAGCGCGAGTTCACCGTCTCCTTTGCCGTCCCGTTCCCTCTCCCGCCAGTCCCCGCCTCCGCCAGGTGTCCCACCCCGCCGGGCATCCCCGTTCCCGCCGCCACCGCGGCGCAGCAGCAGCAACAGTCGCCCCTGCTCGCGGAGCTGGAGCGCGTGCGCCGCGTCGGTAGCGGCGCCGGCAGGACGGTGTGGATGGTGTGGCACCGCGGCACGGGGTGGCTCTATGCGCTCAAGTTGCTCGGTGCGGCGCCAGATCGCGCGCGAGGTCGCCATCCTCCACACCGCCTAGCACCCCGCCGTGGTGCGCTGCCACGGCATGTACGAGCGCGGCGGGGAGCTGCAGATCCTGCTCGAGTACATGGATGGCGGCTCCCTCGACGGCCGCCGCATCGTCGCCGAGCCGTTCCTCGCCGACGTCGCGCGCCAGGTCCTGTCCGGGATCGCCTACCTCCACCGCCGCCACATCGTGCACCACGACATCAAGCCCTCCAACCTCCTCATCGACTCGGCGTGCCGCGTCAAGATCGCCGACTTCGGCGTCGGGCGCATCCTCAACCAGACCATGGACCCCTCCAACTCCTCCGTCGGCACCATCGCCTACATGAGCCCCGAGCGGATCAACACCGACCTCAACGACGGCAGCTACGCCGGCGACATCTGGAGCTTTGGCCTCAGCATTCTCGAGTTCTACCTGGGTAGGTTCCCCTTCGGGGAGAACCTCGGCAAGCAGGGGGACTGGGTCGCGCTCATATGCGCAATCTGCTACTCCGATCCGCCTAAGCCACCGCTATAGATGGCCATCGGGCCGTGCCGGCCCGACGCGGCGTCGTGCCTCACCGGGCCACCATGCCGGCCGTGCCGTGCCTATGGCGTGCTCGTGCCTGGCCTCCGGCCCAAGGCACGGCCCGTGGGCCGTTTGGCCGTGCCGTGACGCCCGTTGGGCACGACCATTTTCACCGGGCCGTGCCGGCCCATAGCCCGGCTGCAAAAATAACTAAGTCTTTAAGGACTTGATCATATTTAACATGATTTTACCACCAGATTCACAACTCAGAGATTCAAAACCACCAGATTCACATCAGATTCAAAACTCATATTCTCATAATTCTAAACCACAGGATTCACATTTCACAATCACAAGTCTCAAACTCACAACTCAGAACACAAGGACAAGGGACAAAAGACAAGATTATATCATTATATGAATATGAGCTATTTTGTGCAATGCTACCTCATTAAAAACCTTTCTAGTTAAACTCACCCTTGTGAGAAACCCTAGAAAGGAAAAAAGAGTACAGCCAGCTCTAAAGTGTCAAAGTCTTAGTTTTTCTATCCTATTACAATAGCCAACATCAGTGGCAAAGTCATTGTGACAATGTGACTTAGTGAGTTCACAGCAGCAAAAGTGCTATCCTATTACAATAGCCAACTGCCAACATTAGTGGCAACATTCATAGTGACTCACTGTCTCACTCTATCACACCAAAAGTACCTGCAAAATTGTACAGAAGCAAGCAATGTTAGTGAACTTGAATGTAAAGAAGCAATATGGAAGTTTCAGTTGAGTGAGTGACTACCTCTCCTCTTCTCTTCTTCTTCTTCTATCCACCACCACCAGCAGTACCGCCGCTGTCGCTGCCGGTGCCGCTGCCTTCGCCTTGTTCATCGAGGAAGAGGTTCTTGAATGCCTCCTCCAGGTCTAGGTCCTCAGGTGTATGTTGTTCCCTTCTTGCACCTTGCTCCCAGTCCTTGATGCAGGTGAGCATCTCCACATGCTCAGGCAACAAGCGCCGCCGCCGGTCTTTGAGTATCTTGGATGTACAGCTGAAACAAGACTCGGAAGAGACAGTAGATACAGGGACAGACATGATATCTCGAGCCATAATAGATAGGATTGGATAGGTTAGCTTGTGGTCACGCCACCAGAGGAGTATGTCAAAGGATTCCTCATAACATGTGACAGGGTCACTGTCCAAGTAAGCTTTGAGCTCACTGACAGCAAATGGAGTAGATGAAGATGAGGGGGAACCGACAGGGGATTCACCAGGACCTCCAAAGATCCTTCCCCATGCATGTTTTGTCTTACCAGTATGAGCTGAAGGTACTGAAACCCTCTGAGACCTAACTGCACCAAATTTCTGTTCATACTTGGCAAACAATCTATACAATTCATCTTTCACATCACCATAGTATACAATGCTGTGCAGTCATTATAGAAGAGTTCCAGGAATATCATTATTTGTTCAGCAACATACCAATGTTGTGCAGTCAACAAAGTAGAACCATAATTAGAGGTAATGAACACATGAAAGACTTCCTTGTATGGCAGCAAGTGTTTGAGCATCAAATAAGTAGAATTCCATCTAACATCCATATCCAAGCCAAACTTTCTAGGTCTAAGACCCTGAGCGGTACAATAGTTCTTAAACAATGCAATTCTTTGATTAGAGGAATTTGAAAAACTTATTGCAGTTCTAAAATCTTCAGTATAAGGTTTCAACATCTTCATGCCAGATTTAACAATCAGATTAATGATATGGCATGCACAGCGCTGATGCACAAGCAAGTACTGCACCTTGTTAGGATCATCTCTTGTAGATGCAGGATAAGAACCCAAATAACCAAAGAACATAAGTTGCAAAATCTCATAAGCCCTAGAATTAGCAGAATCATTGTCTAGAGACACAGAAAAAACCTTGTCAATCAAACCAAACTCCTCAACCACACTAGAAATCCTATCAGCAATGTTTTCACCAGAATGTGAAACATCAATCAGCCTAAGACCAACAACTTTTTTCTGTAACTCTCAATCTGCACTAACATAATGAGCAACAACAGAAATATAATCCTCCTTAGCATTACCAGACCAAATATCAGATGTCAAAGAAACAGAAGATACAGCAGGCAACACAGATTTCATAAGTATAGCACGTTGTTCATCAAAAAGTTTATACATATCTCTAGTGGTGGTCTGCCTAGAAACCTTCTCGAACAGAGGATTATGAGCACGCTTAATGTAATCCTCCCAAGCCTGTGTCTCACCTATCCCTAAAGGAAGGTCTAGCCTAGTAATCAAACGGCACAACTTAGTGCGAGCAAGCATAGGATCATACACCCAATTTTTCAAACCATCAGGATTCAGAGGAAGCTTAGACTAGACCATACTAGCATGATTACGTTTTCTCATACAGGAATACATGTGCCGTCTCAAATGGCCAGTGCCAGCAGACGATCTAGCAGTGTATCGCGACCGACAATGTTTACAGATGGCAGCAACTCGAATTTTATTCTCCTTAATATCATGGAAGTAATCCCAAACAGCAGAAACTTTCTTACCAGAGGTGGTTGAGGTACCATGGTGTCAGTGGAGACCTCAACTCCACCATCACCGTCATCACCATCGAGATCGATGGGCTAGTTGCCGTCACCGAGGTCGATACCGAACAGACCGGCTGCATCATCACGTAGGTCGTCGTCGTCCTCGACTTCCAGCTCGTCATCCGGGTGCGGCGCTTGGTCCTCGTCGTCGCCGAGGGGATGCTGATCCTCCCCCCGCGTTGCGAGGCCGGAACCGCAACCGCCCGTGGACGAGCCGGACAGCCGTCCACGACCTCGACCTCCAGCAGCTCCAGCATCGTCCCTCAACGGGCGCTTTGGCGGCCTGACCATGTCTACTCTAGAGGAGGAAGACGCGGCGTCAGGCACCAACCTGCACGCAAAGAAGAAGAAGAGTGAGATATGACACTTGAGAGACAGAGATCAGAGAGAGACAGAGCAAAGAAGAACAGATCTAGGGTTAGGGAAAGTGACGAACCTGCTTTCCCGGAGCCCGGTGCCGAAGATGAAGAAGCCAGCGAGCCAGCCAGAGGATGAGATAGACACCGATTAGAATCGACAGCGAGGTGGGGGAGTTGGGAGTGACATGAACACGAACTCACATGGTTCACCGATTCCGAGCGAGAGCGAGAGGAAAAGGAGGGAGGAGACGGGGTTAGCGAACTCAGTGCGAGGTGGAGGAGCGCCGGCGAGGTCACCGGTGCCAGAGAGGACGGACGACGATGGTCGATGGAGCGCGGCGGTAGCGGTGGATCGCGAATGCGAGAGCGAGGCAGCGAGCGAGAGCAGACGGCGCGGCGGGGGAGGAATGGGGATTAGGGACTTAGGGTTAGGGATGGAGAGGGAGGCAGCGGGCAGCGGCTTATATATGCGGCTTCGTGGGCTGGCTTCGTGGGCTGCCTCCCTTACTGGGCCTGGTGCCTCGGGCCGTGCCGGCCCGGGCCCGCTGGCCACCGGGCCGTGCCGGGCCAAAATGCCGGGCCGGCGGGCCGCGGGCTGCATGGCCAACTTTAGCCACCGCCCACCGCCTCGCCCGAGTTCAGGGGATTCATTAGCTGCTGCCTGCATAAGAACCCGGCCAAGCGGCTGACGGGCAGGCAGCTACTGCAGCACCCTTTTGTCACCGGCCGGCAGCCGCAGCCCCTCGCTGCTCCTCCCCAGTCATGACCACCGTTTAGGATTGGGAGTAGAGTATGGATCTCATCTCAGTTCGGCCTTGGCAGCAGGCAGTGTGGACTCCAATCCGGCATTCCCATGTCTGTCAGGTGTATCCTTGGATGGACGGAACTGATGTCTGAAGGGAATTGACTGGGCTGTTTCGGTGGTGGTCTTTCCATCATCGTCGTCGTCATCCATCCATGGTTGCTGCTGCTGCAGTTAAGGAGCCCCCTTGATGTTCTTCAAACCAATTTTGAGTGTTGTGTCCATCGTCAATTCATCACGACGATCGTCCTCAACCAGCTCCTCGCTGCGATTAAGGTTCTTTCTCCTTCCTGTTGTTTGATGTTCTTTACTTCCAGTGATGATAGCATAACAAGAGGAAAAAAAAAGTGTGTACAAATGATTTTGTAAAAAGATCATATCATATTTCAAGTACAGAGAGGTCCACTTCGTACCAATTTTCATTGTTCTAAAAAAGGTTTGGTTAGAAACTTCGACTTTTCTTTTTTGTCTCCAATCTCCATGTAGCAGAGCTGTCACATGAACTGGCAATTGTGCTAGGCTGCTAGCATCTCTCTGTGGTATTTTTGGCGCATAATTGGGTGACGATGATTGAACACATGATGATGATAATAGATCTGCCGCTGCTGCTGCTTGATAGGTTCTTGGATTCCTTTATCCGGATATATGATTGCATAGAACGAATCTGGAAATGCGAATAGAACCAACTTTAATTAGTTTCGTGTCTCTCTCTTGATGTTTCTCCTGAAATCTGAACCATGCCTTTCTCTCTTGCCAAATCCGATCTGCCTTTTCTTAGCCCCGGCAAAGGTGGTGGTGGCAATTGGCATGCCGATGTTCATGATCTTGGAGACTTTTTGTGGAGTCTCCATCTCCGTCTCACGACTCTCGGCTGCCTGTGAATGTGACGAGCAACTAATCGGCATATCCAAGATTCCAAGTTGGGAGGGATTGAGGTTTGGCTCGGCCCTAACCCCTAGGCCCTAGGCGATCGTGTGGCAAACATGTGATTCAAATCGTAGCACCTGCTGGGCCTGGTACACGGGGCCCACCTGCTTAATGAGTTGCGTGCACTGCGGAAGCAGCAACAGCTATCGGATCAGCGGCGCAAGTAAGTACTAGTAAAGCACTAGTTTTTCGGGCGCGCCCATGCGCGCGGTCCACTGGCCACACGTATTTCTTGGAGAAAAAAAAGATATAATCAAAGTTGGGCTGTATTTTGATTTGAGAAAAATCTGAGGATGTTTTCGCAAAAAACGGTGAGAGTGTCTGGTGAGCGCAAGTTGATTTTCGATAAAGTGGAGGTCTTTTTTGCAAACAAAACAGTGCCCATCCGGTCTGGACTGAGCGTTGATTTGGAAATAATACAAGGCGTTTTTTGTAAAAAATTCTGAGAGGACGTCTGGAGCGCGGGTTGATTTCCGAAAACTTAAAGGGGTTTTTCGTAAAACGACCGTGTCTCGCCCGATCTGGGCCGTCCGCGCGGCCGATCGAATGGCCGCGAAAAACCAACGACATGGCCACCCTGAGACTGCGCCGTGGCCACACCAAATCATATCTTTAGATGGGCTGGCCAGCTAGGTGCTTTCTTGGCCTTTCGGGCTTGTGGGCCCAACTTCAGCGAAGGCAAGGCCCGTTCTAGCATGAGGTTGCAACGCGGCCGGTTGAACCATGAGATTCATTGGTT